GTGCCAACCTGCTGTGCTTTAGCCACCCGGCGCTCCGCTCGCTGTTGTGAGCGTCGCTCCTCCGCCCTCCGTTGTTGTTTGAGGGTAACTACCTCCAACTGCCCAGTAGCGTCCTTCACGAGCCTCCTCCACAGAGGCCGATCTTGACACCGCTGGTACCAGTCATCGGCAAGTCCACTCAGCTCCACGTCCTCCTGTACCACATCACTCCATCCCTTCTCTAGCCCGTGTCGCGCCCGTTTAGCCCCCTCGATCCGGCCGAACAAAAGCTGTTTCGGCATGCGGTGGCTGGGCATGCGGGCTACATGACCCAGCCAACGCAGCCTTGCCTGCCGGAGGAGCTCACCGATGGGACCTTGCCCAGATCTTTCAAGGATTTGTGAGCTCCTCACACAATCCAGCCTGGTTCGACCCAGGATGGATCGTAGGCAGGCTAGCCTAAATGTTTCTAACCGGCGAAGATGTTCCATTAGGGGGGTCCACGTTTCGCAAGCGTAGAGAAGGGAGGGAATGACCGTGGCCGAGAAGACCTGAAGCTTAGTGCGGAGCGACAGACCAGGTAGCTTCCACACAGCGTTACGCAACCGATGAAAAGATAATGCCGCTCGACTTATTCGGAGTGAAACCTCCGCTGTTAAACTGGAGCCGGTCATAAGCACACTGCCCAGGTATGGGAAACTTTCCACTCTCTCCACAACTGCCCCATCACCGATTGGGAGTTGTGGGGGTGGAGTGTCCGATGGTACAAAATACCCAGGCAGGTGCTTAGTTTTGGTGGGGCTGATGGTAAGGCCCCATCTCTTAGTGGCACGCTCCAGTCTCAGCAGCAGCGTCTCCAACTCCTCCTCTGAATGAGCAGCTATTACCAAATCATCAGCATACATAACGTGGTTGAGCAATAGAGAGCCATCCCTTGACCGCACCCGGGCATCGATCAGCCTCCCATTATATCTGTACCATATGGAGATTTCCCCGGTACAGCTATTGAAGGCTTCACGAACTACGTGGTCAAAATAAATGTAAAATAATGTGGGAGCCAGAGGGCATCCCTGTCGCACCCCAAGGTGTACAGGGAATGGCTCTGACTCCCGGACACGTAGTTTTACCCGGGCCCGCTCACCATCATGAAGGTCCTTAATGATCGTGAGCAGAGGGTCAGGTACTCCAAAAGCACGAAGAACAACCCAGAGCCCAGGCCTACTGATGGTATCATAGGCCTTGACCAGGTCAATAAAACAGAGATGTAGGTCTTGCTGGAATTCCATACACCTCTGCTGTAGCAGACGGACATAAAATATGGCATCTCTGCAGGACCGCCCTTTCCTAAAACCACATTGGGGCTCCGCAAGCCTCTCCTCAGCGTGCCTGGCAAGGCGATGCTGAATAATCCTTGCCAGGACCTTTCCCGGCACACTTAGGAGTGAGATGCCGCTGTAGTTGTCACAGTCTGTGCGGTCCCCTTTCTTAAAGAGGGGGACCACCAGGGCATCCTTCCAATCCTGCAGAACCCGTCCAGTGGTCCAGACTGTTGTTATGATGTCATATAGGGCAGTCTGTGCACAAATGCCACCCTCCCTCAGCATTTCGCTTGGGAGATCATCTCTGCCCGCTGCCTTTCCTGGTCTCAGACTCCAGATCGCCTTCAGTACTTCCTCAACAGATGGCACTTCAGCCAGCCACTCACAGGGGGTGACTTCTTCCAATATTTGAGGCACCTTACACACACATACACACACACATACACACATATACACACATACACACACATATTACTGCATTAAACGAGGGCCATTAAAACCTTGACACGTGCATCTGGGTTCACTGCTTAAATTCAAAATCCCTCTGAGCTGGCGAGGCCCCTTATTTGTGTGAGTCTCAGGGGGCGGGGCGGGGGGGCATTAAAAGCTCTCGGAGCCCTTTGATGCTGGCACGAGGCGCCGCCTGGAGTGTGGCGCTGCTTTGACGAGGAGCTAGCCCCCACCCCCCCCCCCCCCACCGTGTGCGTCGCGACGTCCACAGACGTCAACGCCTTCACATCAAAACCCCATGAGGATGCTCGAACCCTCAACATTACCCACCACATCCGAGGTCGCAAGCTTTTTAATGTGCTTAGCCAAACGTCGTGTATGTATTGATGTTGAACTTCTATCGCACCGTACTTAGCCCACCGTGCCAATCGGAGGTGCGGGGGAAGGACAACAAACTAGACACAAAAAAGCAGTTCTAAAGAAACGAGCTTTGAATCTAGCTTTAAAAGTACGTAGCTCCAGTGGTCTCCTAATATCGGACGGAAGAGCGTTCGAAACGGCCGCAGAAGCGCATCTGAAAGCGCCACGCGATGTGGTGACCACCGTCTCTGTTCGATGGCCAGCCAAAAGCCGCTGTTAGGATGACCGCAGTTCAAGTTTTGAGACTCAGTGAGGCTTGCCTGGGTAAATCAAGAGCACTGATGTGCATCGGTCATTTTAGTCAAGATGTGATCCCGGCCCTAAATGTTTGCACCCCTCATCGCCATGTTCATTAGCCCAAAAACAATATTCGCGATTGTTTGTAAATATTTACATATTTATTTTTGTAGGGCATGCGTTTAAGTGGCATTTTAATTGTAAAGTGACGCAATTGAAAACCCACTCAAGGCTAGTTATCTGCATGCAATGAGACCCCGCTGATTGAAATTATGTAAATGACGATCTGTGCGGGACAGTGAGATGAAAGGCATCGACTCGGACACGTGCACCTCTCGTACCCAATATGTGTTGCTCGGTACAGTGTGATGCAACAGAACACTTGAAACACAAAAGGTTCAACAATCCTGTGTAATATCGCGATATAATAATAATACTGCGCGTGTTTACTTTCACAGTCCATGTCCCTGTGTGTGTTGCATTTTATTTCAAAACATACACCTCTATGAAGCTGCTGCCACGTCACCGCCTCACTTCCTCTCTTTGTATATAAGCCACCTCCACGAACGGAGCTGGTCGATGTTCAATGATTGAGGATTGTGTTTCTATAAAAGACACCAATGGCAGGGGTTGAACGTCCTGGTAGTCGCGGGGGTGACGAGAGGCAAGTCTCAGACGTGGCATCGATCTCTCAGCAGCGCGACCAACAACTCAACGTGGCCACAGAGACCTTGAAATGCTCCACCGATGTCCACAGGACAAGGGAAACCAACTGCACGGTGAATGAGAGAGTTCACTCCCCGACCAGGGAAGAGAACAGCGCGAGACACCTTCACAAAACCGCCACACAAGAGAGTGGACCCACCGCTGCGCCGCTGCACTCCTTCGACTGCGCGACAACCACATGTGAAGGTGCCCCCAAGGTACGAGCAAGTGGTGGCCACCTTTGGCAGTGCGTGCGAGCTGCGATGTTCCGCTGGCGAACCTGGGAACGGTTGTGGAGCTGAGACCAAGGTGTGGACGGGTGGCACAGAAACGCCCGCACAGCGGTCGTGCAAAACGAGATTTGTTCCCCCCCGAAGCGGCAACGAATAACGACGACACCGCATCGCCCGAGGGACAATGCGACAGGGCTTCACTCGCGCCACTCGACCTCTTGACCACGGCCTCACGTGACGCCACGGCTCGAGCCACCGAGTCTGGTAAATCGGCGAAGCTATCGCCCCTGGCAGCACGCAAGTCGCTGGATGATCGGTCGGTCACAGAACGCGAGGAATCCTTGGCCACGGTCTTGGCAGCTCGGAGCCCGGTGGCGCGGCGCCCCGCACAGAAGCGGTGGCTAAGCCATCGCCCCGGGGAGCGCGGCGCGCCTCGCGACAGGCTCCACGCGCGCCTCGCGAGAGGCTCCACGCGCGCCTCGCGAGGCTCCACGCGCGCCTCGCGAGAGGCTCCGCGCGTGGAGTCTCGCGCGGCGCACGCGCCCGACTCGGCGGGCAGCTCGGGTTGCTGCAGCCCCGTCGCGGGCCGGCGCGCCGGAGCCCGGGCCAGGTCCTCCACCCCGCACCCGACGGCGCGTCAGCCGCACGGTACCGCCACGAGCTGCTGCGCCCCCACGCCGGTGGCGCCGAGGGGGCGGAAGGAGCGCGGCGCTGGCGGCGGGGAGAGCCCGTGCTCGTCGCCGTCTTGCGGACAGCTCGGTGACAGATGGCCCCCTGTGGATGGTCTTCCAGCCGGCATCCTGGAGAGGAAGCTTCAGCATCTCCTGAGCGAGGGCGGGGAAGACTGCTTGTAGACGACGCGCCACTGCTTTGGGTTACATGGCCGTGATTTGTACATTGTGCGCACGATTGTTATTCGTAAGATATTGATGCGTTTTTCTTTGGATTAATGTCCGATGTTTCGCTGCACATGCTGGGGATCTTATTCAGGGACTGAATAAATGATTGCTCACACGTGTAGCTTTATGTTCAGGCCGTGTGCGATTTTTTTTCAAACGTGTGCCAACGTTAGCGAATGTCTCTCTCTGGTTCTTTGGTTGTGCATTTCAATGTTATAAAACGATTATCCGTGTTTATTTAGCAGCCTTTTCCAGTTGTGCTTGATATCCGTGGGATGTCTGTATCAAACAATACAAAAGCCAGTCTTACGTGTTGCATGAAGTTCTGTTCCATATGATTTTCAGCGAAAATCTGCAAATGTCTCGGACGGCCAGCTTTCAATTATCGGAATAAATTATTAAAACGCAGATAATGAATAAAGATTACATCTGTACAACACATGCGTTGCTCCTTTCACCGACGAGCAGAATTGAATAGACATGCATGGAATTTGTGACATGAAATGCATAATTGGATATTTTTTATTCGTGAGCCTGATAGGTTTTATATTTTACGTTTATTGCGTATTCTTTCCTGTGGATGATAATTGTTTTGTGTTGATGGTAATTAACGTTTAGAACGCGATGGTTAGGGCACAGTGCCAATCAATACACATCACAAACGAGTATCATCTACTAAGCATCTGCATTTAATTATGAGAGCATACAAATTAGTGGATTCACATGCTGTGTAGGTAAATATAAAAATATATTTGTAGCTGCAAGGTCTTCATATCCAAAAGCCAATTCCTTTATCCAGCAGTAGACAAATTTGCTGCTGTTGCCTCATAATGATATAGATTGTAGTGGATCATTCCATTGGATTTTCAGAGGGCGCTTTACATTTGACAACAAATAAATATAAAAGCAACGTGGTAAAATGAAAGCGCGCGTACTCCTCAAGTGGTTCGCCGTGAGCTGCAGCTGCTCAATCACAGCTGTCAACACGAGCGTCTCCACTCTGCTCGCTCAGAGCACCGGCGTCGTGTCGCACGCAGAGCGAGACGACTTCACTCAGAGCTCGAGAGGCCCTCTCCTGGGTCGCGACGCACGCCTCTTACCCAGCGCTGTGGAGGCCGCGAGGGTTGGTGGGTCACACATGTTGCAAAACGCATTTGCCGTGGGCGTCGAGGTGGTGCCATAATCTGTGTCACCAGGTGAAGGCAGTATAGAAAACATGCGAACTGTACTTGTTTTGTCTGTATGGGATAGAGTGTTCTTCCCTCGCACGCATGGAAATTTTGATCGTGGCATTCATGGCCATAAGACCTTCTTGACGTAGCCTTTAAAACAGTGTTGGGATTAGTACTCTGTTTTCCTCCCACAGGTAAACACTCATTAATTGGATCGTTAATGTATAGAGGACCACAGAGCTTGGGTTATTGTTTGCAGCGGCTCATCGCGTGGATGCCTTCCTGCTTATCTGTGGGTTTCTGCTCTCTCGGAAATAATGAGCGAATACTGTGTGGTGGAGCGTTACACGTTTAAATAATTACATTTGTATAATAATCCAACGATGAATTGTACCAGCAGCTTGTAGCTGAAATACATCATCCCTCATCGTAACCTTTAAAACAGTGTTGGGATTAGTGCTCTTAATAAACAGGCAACATTATACGTACAAAATATTCAGTCGTGTCATTGTGGAAAATAATAAAAATACACATTCCATCAGCCACACGGACCAGCCACACAGCAGCATTGGTTCAATACAAGCAAACTCTGGTGAACCGGTTTCAACATTCAGTGTCTCATCAGCAATGAGGCTTGCTTGAACCAATGTTGCTGAACTGCCACATGTTTATAGACAACCACCCCGCTGTTGCCACGAGTTCCCTCCACCTGTGGTCTTGAGGCGGCTTCCCTGCTGCTGTTGTTATTGTTCGATCCCATTGTGCCGAGTCTCTATACTGCCTCTGTCCATCTGCTCCCAGGTCTTCCTCTTTTCTGTCTTCCGTTGATTGTTTTTCCAGCCCATCGTTGCTGTTAGCGAGCACCTATTAAGGCGAGAACAGCACCCGATGGGGTGGTGTGTGCCTTCCAGTACTTTACGCAGCACAACCGTGAATCATATTTGGCTGAGTCAACCTAGGACAGGCCCAGACACAGTTGAGATAATTGCCAATGTTGTTATATCACAGGAGTGTCTTATAATATATAATAATTTCCTTTTGGGGCAGCGTTATGACAAATGTGTTGAGTTTTCGATTTCAAGCTTTCGTGACTGCAAGGATTCATCTTCTTTGGTTCTTTCGGTAAAGTCACGTAGAATGAGAATAAAATAATAAAATAAAACAATAAAATTCTCACGACGTTTCGGCCACAACACAAGTGGCCTTCTTCAGGTGAAGGATAAAAAAAACTGTCGGGACGACAGGGCTTTAATGAACGCTGCTAAGATTCGTAGCGTCTTTTAAGCTGGTTGAGAGAAGAGATGCACCTTGACAGCTATTTCAATGCTAAATTCTCCTGTTTGATATGTAAACCCCTTTGTCAAGGTCCATCTCTTCTCTCAACCAGCTTAAAAGACGCTACGAATCTTAGCAGCGTTCATTAAAGCCCTGTCGTCCCGACAGTTTTTGGTTTCTTCACCTGAAGAAGGCGACTTGTGTTGTGGCCGAAACGTCGTGAGAATTTTATTGTTTTATTTTATTATTTTATTCTCATTCTACGTGACTTTACCGAAAGAACCAAAGAAGAAGGTGTTGAGTTTTGTTTGTACAATTTTTTCAAGATCATTATTCACTCAAGCAAGTGTGCATTTGCTCTGCATGAACCACTGTGTTACACATTAGTATAAGACAATTGTGACAACATTATCCTTTGCGAGGGGAGTTGTGGGTTGCCAATCTCAGCATGTTAAGTGCAACATTCCAGCGCAGATCAATAACGATCAATCCATGCATTAAAGAGCAACGTGAGAGAAAAAAAGGCACTCGACAAAGTAAACATACGTGCGTGCAAGGATAGTTAAAAGCCTTTCAGCTATGGAATTAAAATATAAACCTATATTTGTTCATAGTTAAAAAGAAATAAATGACTTCCTTTTGATCATCCACTGCTGGTTAGATGAAGGCCTCCCCATTCCCTGTTATCCGTGGGGGCTGTTTGACCATACTTCACCACGCTGGTTATTTCGGGGTGGTAACGGGTGGAGCGGAAGCGGTGGGCGAACCATTCGGATCCCACTCGCCACTGATGCAACCCGTGGCTGTGGAATCCAACTCGGGGACCGTGCTGCTCTAGTAACCACAGTGACACTACTCGCCACGCGATCCACGTTCTAAAGGCAACGGCAAAGTGCCCCCGTAATGTTGCGGCTAGCGCAAAACGTACAAAGACAAAGACGCCCCGTATAACCTTAACATAATGTTGAGGCAAGTGCTGTTAGCGAGAACCTATGAAGGCCGGCGCAGCACATGAGTGGGTGGGTGGCCTGCACCACGTCTTCCCAGTGGCGATGTTTACACATTGCACCAGGTACTCATTTAAGGCTGAGTCGGCCCAGGACTGATTCAGATAATCACCACTGGTGTTGGCCGTGAGCGGGGATCGAACTCGGATCGCCAGGTTAGGAGCGCAGCGAGCTACCGTTGCACGACCGCTCCCCAGACGTACAAATAAAAATATCCCCCAAATAGCCTTGCCAGACTGTTGGGGCATGTGATTTCCCCACACGTATACACACACGCGTACATACACAGAGAGGCACTTGTGATGAAAGTTACACGTCTTTGAGGCCAACGATGGGGCTGTGACCTCACACACACGTGGGTGTGTGTGTGTGTTACAGCAAGCTCTTTACACACTGACACACACACACACGTGTGTGTGTGTTACAGCAAGCTCTCTACACACTGACACACACACGTGGGTGTGTGTGTTACAGCAAGCTCTTTACACACACACACGTGGGTGTGTGTGTTACAGCAAGCTCTCTACACACTGACACACACACACGTGTGTGTGTGTGTGTTACAGCAAGCTCTTTACACACTGACCTACACACACACACGTGGGTGTGTGTGTTACAGCAAGCTCTTTACACACTGACACACACACACGTGAGTGTGTCAGTGTGGGGAGCGGTAGTGTAGTGGTTAGCGCGCTGCGCTATGAACCTGGCGACCCGGGTTCGATTCCCGCTCACGGCCAACACCAGTGACGATTATCTGAACCGGTCCTGGGCCTCCCCTAGGTCGACTCAGCCTCAAATGAGTACCTGGTGAAATGTGTAAACATCGTCACTAGGGAGGCAAAGGCGGCCGGGCGTGGTGCTGGCCATCCACCCCCTCGCGTACCGTCCCGACCTTCATAGGTGCTCGCTAACAGCACTTGCCCCTACAGTTTGTTAAGGCTGCACGGGGGATCTTTGTCTTTGTCAGAGCAAGCTCTTTACACACACACACGCGTGTGTAAAGAGGTTGCTCAAGTCAAAGAGGGCGCTCTTGACGAGTCCTCTGTGGGTCACCTGTAATGCCAAGGGCGATGTCGCTGAGCCAGCACTTGGCCGAAGTCGTCGCTCTGCGCAGGGACACGTCCACCGCGCTTTTCACGGCTGTGTTTACTCCTCGTTGGGCATGCACCCTCAGGTCAGTGAAGTGTCGCGGGCAAACAAAGAAAAAGAAACGAAAAGAAGCGAAAAAGAAACGACTGCGTGTGTATTTATATTCTACAGTTGGCGAGGTGGGGGGGAAGTTACACTCGGGTGGCTGTGGCTGTTGTAGGAAGTCCGTAGAACCCGTTGTGTTTGTGCAGAATGGGTTGCGCACAAATCCTCGAGAGCGCAACGGATGTGGCTGTGTGTGGACGGCGGCGGAGCGCTGACCTCACGCACCGCGGGTGAACTCGGAGGCGCGCACAGACAGCACGGCTCCTGTCGCTTGGCACCCACCGCCTTCGGTCTCGCCGCAACAGTTTGGCTCCGGACTCAAGGTGAGACACCCATCACGGTATGTTCTCTGAAAGTCTTGGGCTCCCTATCAGTGCCGGAGTAAGCTCGTGCTTAATCCGGCACTGTTCTCTGAAATCTTCGGCTAGTGCGGTATCTGTAGCATACGTTATAAAGGGGCCCTACATTTAAAAAAAAAACCCACAAATGTAAAGTAATTGTATTCTTTCATTTGCAATACAGCCAGATGATACGACAAATCTCTAACCTTAAACACCCAGTCGTTCATAAAAGTTGAAGGCAGTATAGTACTATAGTGATAGAGCAAGTGCAGAATCACTGAACCGGAATTGATAGATTGAAAGCGTTTAGCGCGGGGCCCTTGAAAGTGCGGGGCCCATAGCTACTACATAGAAGCTACATATGTAGCTACATATGTAGCTTCTACATACTGCTCCGGAGCCGCGTGCTGTGGCTCTTTAAGGACTGCTTCGTGACGTCATTTTTTAAGGACCACCACCGTCTCGTATTCACCACAGTGCATTGCGGCTTTAAACATTCAGTTTTTTGTAACCGAGTTCGAATAAAGAATAGCTCTTCTTGTTATATTGGATGCCGACCCCTGATATAGGCTAGACCTTACCGCCGTGCCGTTGCACACTTACCAACTATACTGGTTTTAAAAAGACAGGTTGTCGAATTACCAAAGCCATCATCATCAGCAGCACTCATGAGTCATGATCGATCTACTGCTGTATGAAGGCCATTGCCCAAGACGTTTCCTATATATTTTTAAAACCCTTCTACCGCATGCTGATGTTCAAAGCTAATCATTCAGCGGTTTATATATAAATATATATTATACTTATATATTTACGTATTTATATATGTATAATATATATAAATATATATAAATATATATTATACATATATATTTATAAGTATTCTAGATGGAAAATACATTTCTTTAGAACTGTTTTTTGTGTTTAGTTTGTTGTTCTTCCCCGCACCTGCGATTAGCACTGCTAGCTATGTACGCTGTGAAAGAAGTTCAACGTACACATACATACCGTATGAGATCAGTTAGTTCATGTACAGGAGAGAGCATGTATTGTGGCATCATATGGGGTGTCCTGCACCTTCAGTGGATACACAATGTCGTTTGCTGATGATTGTGATGACCTACGCCCAGGCACCGTGAACCAACCAACAGCTACCTCAAGGCAGCCCCGATGGACATCACGCAGAGGATTAAGTCTTCCAACTTGGACAGAGCCAGGCAAGAGAACCGCACGTTCGAGTCGAGGCTGAGAGACAACCTGGAGGACATCGCCCATGCACGCTGCCTGGCCCTCTATGCCATCACGCGCGAGTCCACCGAGCTCCTGGTGGAGAACCAACAGCGGGACAACGAGAAGTTCAACCTCAGCCTGAGGAGGACCTTGGAGAGCGCCCCGTCGGGCCAGAGGGCGATGCTCGCTGACACAGGACGGCGGTGCAGGACGAGCGAGGGGCCCTGGCAGACACGGAACTCCTTCGGAGTCAACGTCCACGGTGGTCGCGAGGCATCCGAGGGCGGCGTTGCGAGGAGGGGGAAAGTGAAAGCCGTGACGTTCGACAAGTGGACGCAAAAGCCGCGCGAGGTCGATCGTAACGCCGGGCGCGTTGGCTCTAGAATCATGCCCGAGGACGGCAGAGTGAGCAACGATTGGACAATGGATGCAGGAAAGGTGAGGCGAAATCACAAGCTGGATGCCGGAAAGGGGAAGCGGGACAGGACGCCGGATTTTCGGAACGATGCCAACTCTGCCAAAGGTCTGTCCCGAAGGAAATCCACCACGAGGAAGGAAGGCGGTTGGCAATGTAACCAACACTACCGCAGTCCCAAAAGAGGTGGCCTCAAGGGCAGGTCGGGTGGCCCCTCTCCTCCGTCTCAGCGGAGGATCATCCGATTCTGCACGCTCTTCTCCTCATCCAACAGCCACCGGCAGGAAAACCAGGGCCTCGAGGAGGCCAAGCTGAAGCTGCGGCCTCCGCGGCGGCGGCCGGGCCTGGCGGCGGCGCTGGGAAACAAGGACGAGGAGCAGGCCGTGCTGCTGCGTCTCCGGCGACTGAGTCAGGCGCGGGAGAATGCGGCGCTCGAGGAGAGGGTGCAGGACTTCCTGGGCGCCGAGGCGACGGGTGACGGGCCGCCGCTGCCGCCGAGGAAGCTGCCGGCCAGGAGGAGCTCTTCTGTTATCCCACAAGATGAGGACGAGCGGCTGCTGGAGATGTTTAAGAGTTTAGTTCTTCCCCGGGGCTCGTCAGTACCCAGGCAGACCCTGCAGTCATTGTGAGGGCTGCGCGGTAGTGGTGACTCGACCGCCGTTTTTTCCACTGGCACATCCGAGCCACGTCAGCATGAGACCCCTCGTGGTGTGGGTGGCTTTCCACGGCTCATTTGTCGAGGCGAGCCAGAAGCAAACTTTCATATTGTGGCCTCGCAAGACTGAATCTGGCACGGTGCCAGGCTGGGCCAGGGCTAATGATGCATTCGTTGCGTGCGATGTCAGAGTCAGTGCACTGCGAGGATGCAGCGTCACGTGTCATCCACACGCATGTCTATTCGTTCATTGCGTGCGACGTCAGCATCACAGATCGTACTCTTTGGGTCTTTCGGTAAAGTCACGTAGATAAAAACATAATAAAATAATAAAAAATCACGACGTTTCGATCGCAACACAAGCAATCGTCTTCAGGTGAAAAAATACAGCAGGCGGATTGCTGAGGCAGGAAGAAATACAGCGAGAGAGCTACTGCAGCCAAAGGTTATATAAGTTTGAGATGGGTATAACCCAAGGGTAAGTGGGCGGGGCTAGAGATGGAATTTGCAAGTAAACGTAAGATCGCAGCGCTAGGTATACCTCGGCGATTGTATTGCTAGAGATTAGCATGCCAATCTGTTAATGTAACCCCACGACTATGGTGCTGAAGAAGCCACTGTATTGCTCGAGATTAGAGATTAGCATGTCAATGTGAGACGGCTCCCGCAGCAGCGGCTGTGTTAATGAGACACATTCAGCCTATTAAACGAGCGCCACCGCCGCATCGAGGAAAAGGGAGCAGCAGCTATGTTAGTGAGACATTTGGCCTGCTAATGTAAAGACATTTAACAAGGTAATGTAACTCAGAGAGTCGGAAATACCTGCTAACATAGACAGGTAGGATAGAAGCATCACAGCCAGTTATGACTTTACCTGGTTAATAACGTCCTTCCAATGATTGATCAGTTTGTACCCATCTTCTTGGTTGAAATTGTGTCTGTGTTTATATATCTGGATGGCTTCATGAACAAATCTTTGTTGATAGCGAGTGAGTTTGCATAGTACCTTCGTCTTGGAGAAATCAATTTTATCTGTGCCCAGAGCGTTAAACAATGATCAGCCACGGCAGAGGTGTTGATCCTACCATGTTTCAGATCCACCTTGTGTTCGCGAACACGGTCTGAGACATGTCGCTTAGTTTCCCCAATGTAACTACTGCCGCAGGCACAGCTTAGTTTGTAGACATCGGGGTATTGCATGTCAGGGATCACATCCTTCACAGATGGGATCAGATCACAAATTTTATGTACTGTGTTGAATCGAACCTGGATCTTGTGTTTGCTCATGATTTTGTAAATCTTTTTGGTGCCCCCTGCTATGTATGGCAAGGTGATGGTTTTGAATGGGTCCTCAGGTGGTTCTTTCCCAACGGTTGGGGTGACAGCTTTACAGATTGTGCAATCCGAATATCCATTCATCTTGAGGGCTTGGTGTACATGGTCCGGTTCACTGGCTAGGTGGTGATGGTCGGAAATGTAACGAGCCCTATAGTGTAGAGTTTTGATGAGGGAATTCTTCTGGGCTGGATGGTGGTGGAAGTCAGGTTTTAGATTGGCATCCGTGTGGGTGGCTTTCCTGTAGACAGTGTCCCAATGAGCCATCTGGTCTATTTTCGATTAAAATATCCAAGAATGGTAACTTGCCATCCTTTTCTACCTCCATGGTGAATTTGATGGCTGGCTGTATGGAATTGATGTGGTTTAAGAATTGGTTCAGAGCTGGCAGGCCATGTGGCCATATGACGAATGTGTCATCTACGTATCTCTTCCACAAGGAAGGACGTATGATGGATGTCTGGATGGCATCTGTCTCAAAATTAAAACATTGGCTACCACTGGTGATAAGAGAGCACCCATTGGAGTACCTTCAACTTGTTTGTAGAATGTACAATTCCAGGTGAAGTAAGTGTTGGTGATGCAGTGTCTCACCAGGGCGGGTACATCAGCATTCAGTCCTTGTTGGACCAAATCTTCAATGATTGCATGGTGTCAGTCACAGGAACTTTGATAAACAAAGAAACTACATCGAAGCTGACAAGCAAATCACCTGGAGATAGTGAGATGTATTTAATTAGAGATACCAGGTGAGCTGAATTAAGTACAGCTGAGGTGGTCTTACCAGTGAATGGTTGTAAAGTCTCAGACAGAAATCGGGCCAGTTTGTAGGTGGGTGAGTCAATGGTGGAGACGATAGGACGGAGTGGTGTACCATCTTTATGGATTTTTGGTAAGCCATAAAATCTGGGTGGTCGAGCAGCAGAGGGTTTTAGAGAGAGACACTTGGTTGGTTCGATTAAAGATGTCGAGTTAGTGATGATTGGTTTTCGTAACCAGGCGGTTGGTAGGATCTCTATTGATTTTGGTATAGCTGCCATCATTAAGTAGGTCCTGAATTGTGTTATTGTATGTGATTTTATCCATGATGACAGTGGCATTGCTCTTGTCAGCTGAGAGGATGACGATATCATCTCTCTTTTTCAGTTGAGCAAGCTCAAAGCGCTCATCCTTGCTGATGTTGCTAATGGGTTTCTTAGCGTTTTTTAGGGTTGCAGCGATTTCCGATCTCACCACGTCTGCAGGAATGTGTCCCAAACCTTTAAGGGCTATGTCGACCTGGGCAATGATATCATCAACTGGGATGTGTTTAGGGGTGACTGCGAAATTCAACCCTTTAGCTAGTACCCATTTTAGGCCATCAGAAATTGGGCTGTTACTCTGATTGATAACAATCTTATCAACGTCTAACTTTTTAATGTGTGGCTCTGGATTCTTCTTAGACAGGAGGTTGAACTTGGAAATCAGGTTCTCTTTACATTTATCTGACATCGAGGCGGCTGAAGAGGCTGTCATGTTATCTACATAGTCCTAATTAGATGCAGACATTTTTTATGTCAATGCTAAGTGTGATTGTAAGAGAGTCTTGTCTAAATTATCTAGTTCAAAACGGAGCAATCTTATTCTCTCTGAGATCAGGGCTAGGCCGGCCCTGAACAAGATACGTTTAGCATTAGAGGTTACAGTAGCAGATGTGAGTGTAAAGGCGATTGGTATTACCTTGGTGTCGTGGCATCTCTGCAGAAAAGTGAGCGACTCGACCAGAGGAGCCTTCTTGTCCCGGAATCTGTTAAAATATATAATGGTTGTGTGGAAACCCTCCCCGTAGAGGCGGTTAAATCTTGACTTAAAGCTTTCGTGACTGCAGGAATTCATGCTCTTTGGGTCTTTCGGTAAAGTCACGTAGATATAAAAATTAATACAATAAAACAAATCACGACGTTTCGATCGCAACACAAGCAATCGTCTTGAGATTCTCTTCTGCAACCGCAGGTGTGAAGTCTAAGCGAGGTTCCCCGGGGGGTTAGCAATGTGTCAAAGCACTGAACTAGCACTGCTGAGAACCTAGTTTCAAGTCTGAGTATTAGCAATCCACAATTGAGCCGACTTCTCGAGTGTAGCGAGTGTATGGCCTGATCCCAGTCACCAAATAACCTATAGACATTTCAAATACAATTTGGGGTTTTGCACTCAATTTGTTTTTATTAGCTAAGAAAAATAAATAGGTTTTACAAGCAGTGAACAAGGAATTTAAAGTGTGTACCTAGTAATAATGAAAACAATCTTGAGTAAATTAAGAGGCCTCCTGGAATTACTTCAGGGCATCCTGTGAAATCACCTCACAGGGTGATGCAATGCTAGCTTATGAGAGTTGTGAATGGTAGGAGAGTGCGTTGTGGGCAGTAGTGAGATGAGGGGGGAGAGGTATTAGAGTGTGTGGAGTGAGTAGAGCAAAACGATAGAGGATAGGGTGGGGAGCACGATGAGAATGAGATGAGAGTAGAGAGTTAAGAGTGTGGAGGGAGGTAGAGTGAGATGAGAGTGGAGAGTTGAGAGTGTGGAGGGGACTAGAGTGAGACGAGAGTGGAGAGTTGAGAGTGTGGAGGGGGGTAGAGTGAGACGAGAGTGGAGAGTTGAGAGTGTGGAGGGGAGAAGAGTGAGACAAGAGTGGAGAGTTGAGAGTGTGGAGGGAGGTAGAGTCAGATGAGAGTGGAGAGTTGAGAGTGTGGAGGGGGGTAGAGTCAGATGAGAGTGGAGAGTTGAGAGTGTGGAGGGGGGTAGAGTGAGACGAGAGTGGAGAGTTGAGAGTGTGGAGGGAGATAGAGTGAGATGAGAGTGGAGAGTTGAGAGTGTGGAGGGGAGAAGAGTGAGACGAGAGTGGAGAGTTGAGAGTGTGGAGGGGGTAGAGTGAGATGAGAGTGGAGAGTTGAGAGTGTGGAGGGAGATAGAGTGAGATGAGAGTGGAGAGTTGAGAGTGTGGAGGGGAGTAGAGTAGAGTGAGACGAGAGTGGAGAGTTGAGAGTGTGGAGGGAGATAGAGTGAGACGAGAGTGGAGAGTTGAGAGTGTGGAGGGGAGAAGAGTGAGACAAGAGACGAGAGTTAAGTGTGGAGGGAGGTAGAGTCAGACGAGAGTGGAGAGTTGAGAGTGTGGAGGGAGGTAGAGTGAGACGAGAGTGGAGAGTTGAGAGTGTGGAGGGGAGTAGAGTGAGACGAGAGTGGAGAGTTGAGAGTGTGGAGGGAGGTAGAGTGAGACGAGAGTGGAGAGTTGAGAGTGTGGAGGGGAGTAGAGTGAGACGAGAGTGGAGAGTTGAGAGTGTGGAGGGAGGTAGAGTGAGACGAGAGTGGAGAGTTGAGAGTGTGGAGGGAGATAAGAGTGAGACGAGAGTGGAGGTAAGCAGGGGCCAGGCCATGCAGGGATCGTGGCCAAAGCAAACGAAGCATGCTGAGAATTGACACGAATTCAACGCCACGATACTGGATCTGTATCCCTGATTTTCCAAACTACGCACAGCACGATTGTGAATTGCAATATGAAAAAGATGAATGATTTAGTACGCCGGTACCACTTGAAGTGCACCAAGCGGAGACCACTGGCAGAACGCTTCCGATTAACGAGAGGGCATTTAAGGTAGCCACCCTGATTTATTATTGCCAGAGGTAAGCCTTGCTACAGGCTGACATGTTCATTTAAATGTTTAGTTGTTAAAGAAGCAATATTACAGTACTTCCTTTTTCTATCACAGTAAACAATACACGATAATACATCGTGTAGCAAAGCTAGTATATTAACTTCTTTGAAATAAAAAAATGACACGCAAAATCCAATTTGTGTTTGCTCATGGTAATTTGCACAACCAAATGCAGCTTAGTTTTGCACTTTATCAGTTCGAGAAATGAAAGCGAGTGACACACTTGCATGTTCAGTGCGCTTAGTGGTTATGGCGTTTATCTTTATGGATAACAGTTCATCCGTTGCAAGCAAAATGTTCAGCGATGAATGCAGAAACGTAAAATGTTACTGTAATGTGATGTATGCGTCGAAAATGTTACATTAATCATGAAAAATGGTTCCATTTGTAAAGAGAGGAACATGGATGTGGCATCTTGTTCCCTGAAGTGTCGTGTTTGTCATATCGTGGTCTGAAATTCATCACTAAACAGTATTTAAATTACACTCATGACAATGCTTGACCCGACCGTGGTGCATTGTGTAGCTTTTCTGCTTTATTAGGGATGAGTTTCGGATGAAAACATTTCAGATTAAGGACAATTTCATATATTGTAACAGGTAATTTACGTTAAGTAATAATGTTAAATGTAAGAATGTAATAATTATGCAACGCGTCTTCGTGCTAACAAAAGGTGACGTCACCCGATGGCTAGCGACACCAGACGGCGGTTTGGTGTGAAACTCATGGCAGTGGCGTGGTGCACGTGACATCCATTCCTGTGACCGTGACACATTCGGATTGTGCAAATGTTCGTGTCTAGATCCAATTCCACTTAAAGTTTTGGATGACTCACAAAGTAGGGAACACATCCGTCCGTACCTTTTAATTTGGTTGTTTTTATTCTCAGCGGCTCGGCAGTGTCGCATTAAGCGGGACGTGGCATGTGCTTGTCGGGACAATACGCGAGTATGCAGCAACTTAACGCATGATACAGTCCAACTATAATAAACACACCGGTCTTCATTTGCAGAGTTAAATGTTGGGATTTTATTGAGTCCGTTGAACTTTTTCATGATAAATACACAGAGGAGTTCAGAAAGAGGAGGGGTTGGTTAACTCGTGGGAGGGCGAGAAGCTGTGCATGCTGGCTCTGGGTGGGTGCTGGTTAGGGTTAGAGAGAATCACCACCTAGAGGCCATAAACAAAGTGGTGCACAAACCTAATTCGTGGTCATTAATGACTCCGTTAAGGAGAATGGAATGCATTTTATTTACGCATGAATGAGTGAACTCTTGTGCAGGGTCTTGCTTAAAACTTTTGGTTAATTCCCATCTGCGCCGCAGTATAAAGGTGTAGTAGTGCACCGTGGATGGTGTAGTAATCCCACGTCTGCCAAAATGTACGGCCAACGAGAAAAACAAGGCAAATTACCCTCTATAGGGGCCTGCGAGAGGTCCCTCTCGTGAAGGCTCTTCTGCCAGCGGTGACATGAGCAAGACATTGCAGGGCTCCACTTTTACCCCACCATTCATGCATTTACAATTGTGGGAGTAACCCACACACATGACATGGACAGTTAACAATTCCACACTGACAGGTCAACAAACTACTCTCTGTACGGACCTCATCATTCTGTAACAGGTTGGCTCACCCACACAATGGATTTATGGGGAGAACCTTCCCCTTACCGAGAGCCGACCAGGACTTTGGCGGAGCGCCACACGTTAACACACACAACTCTGTGACTTCTGCCACTGCGAGACGTCTAAAATCGTAAACACGGTGTTGCCAGGTTAAAAATTTTCCCCTCTAGTACCAGTTTAGCGTGGCTAAGATGTTTGCAGTGATGCATATCTTTTGCGGAACATTTAAAATTGTGGCAAAAGGCTAGGTGAAATGAAGTCGAGGGTTGTATTCAGCCCGTGGGTCAGAGCTTCCCCACCTTTGGCTCGTACTTAAGAAACGGCAACCCATGACATTTGTCTTATTGTGGCTCAGGCCCACGACCGTGACCTTGCGCCGACGGTGCTCCAGCGCCAGGCTGCGTCAAATTTGTTTCAATGGCGGGAGGCCGAGGGCCGACATTGCGGCGTGCATCACTTCCTGGAGACGCTCGAGGAGCCGGAGCCGGGCGAACATGATCCCGGACAGGTGCGGCACGGGTTCCTGGGCAATCGCAAAGGGGAACGTGCTTGAGTTGCTCAGCCTTGAATGTGTATGTACATTGAGCTTCTTTCACACCGTACATAGCCAACCGCGCTAATCGGAGGTGCGGGGGAAGGACAGCTGAACACAAAAAGCAGTTCTAAAGAAATGCGTGTTCAATCTAGATTTTAAAGTGCACAGCTCCAGTGTATTCCTAATAAACGCCTTAAGGACATGGACCCACTCACAAATTCAGCCTCCCTTTCTCACTTTCTGCCCTTCCTCCCGTTTCTCTTGGATCAATTTGCTCGCCCGCTGTTTCTCGCAATTGTTTTTAACAGTCCTAAGACTTTTTCCGACGGGGAAACAAAACCCCCCGTACATTTAATGGTGAAAATTCCACATTGATATGGAAGGAGTCAGTCAGTCCTCAAGACAACCACTGTTGACCTTCCACAAAGTGGTACTCAGGACATGATAGGCTGAGGTGACACTCCAGCCAGGGTCTGAAATAGTGGCGTGGCTATTCAGTGTGGAGGTGTAACTGCAATGGGGCCCATCAGCCGGAGGGGACGCATCTTCTTTCGTACGACTAATGTAGATGAAGAGCACCAACTACAATTTCACATTCAGGTGGTTAAGCCAGATAACCGCGTCAGGAGCAGCAGAGTGTATCATCGTTGTGATGTCTCCTTCGTATATTTTTGTGGACCGGGGCACTGCGTCATTATACGTTGTAGGGTCTGTTCTGAATGACCACAGCCGCACACTACTGGAGAATTTTTAATTTTCCATTTGTGCATCAGGTATCCGCATCTGCCATTATTTGTGCAATGTATGCAATTTATGGTGGACCATGAGCATCATGGAAGATCAACAGATGGTGCAGAAGATGGCTTATAGGCAGGGGGCCTCCATTTCATTCCTTTGCACCAGGCTCCATGCCTCTAGAATTGAAAACGCATTTCTTTACAACTTCTTTTGTGTTTAGTTTGTTGTCCTTCCCCCGCACCTCCGATTAGCACGGTTGGCTATGTACGGTACGAAAGAAGGTCAACATAAATACATACACATACAACCATGCTATGCCACTGGTTTGCACTCTTAAATTTCTGATTCTGAGTGGGGCCCTCTGCCAATGCATCTCCTTGTCGGCAACTGTTACTGCCACATGAGGTTACCTCTTCGTATAATTTGTACCGAAATTATGAAGAAAATAACTGCAGAATTGTTGTCAGTGTTGCTTCTTCTCAAATATTACTGTTTATGCTTCGGAATTAAATTTTTATCTTAAGTGATTAATGTGTGCAAAAAACTAACATTTCAAATGATAACACAAATATCTAAAATAAACGTTACTTCACGGAAATGCACAGCCCCAAGGAGTGAGATGTAGAACTACACAATGCCTACATGCACAAAATAAAGACAGAGAATCTTAAATCATGAGACAGCTGTCCGTGTTGATTACTCACAGAGAGGACGCGAACACGGTTGTAGTAGGAGCTGAAGTCCATGCTGAGTTCCACCAGGAACTTGTAGAGCTGTGTGTGAAGCAGGGAGGGCAGAGCAAACACACTATGACGTCGCAAACAATTCACTTATAGCATCACTGCGGCATAACTGGCATTGCCATTGACTCCACTACCACCCAAGACTCTTAAGCATTAATAAAGAGTTATTCACAACGAATAACTCTTTTTCCACTTGCACATCTGAACCATGCCAGCACGGGAGCTCTCGTGATACAGGTGTTTTTCAAGTGGCTCGTTTTCTGAGCCGTCAAAAGCTCACCTCACAAGACACCTATATCTGGCTTGGGGCCAAGCAGGGCCAGGTGTGGGCCTAATAGCACATTCAATGCGTGTGACATCGGTGGCACGGCATGGGTTCTGTAGTGGCAAAACTACCTGGCGCCTTCTGAGCTGAGCTGGCTTGGCACGGTCCCAGCATGGCTCAGTTGTACAGAGGATAAGGGGTACAATGTAACAGTGATATCTATAAAGCACATGTACCAATCCTTTAAAATGATTAATTAATTTACGTAATTGAGAACATTTTCAGGAATTTGTCAATCCACTGCTAGATGAAGGCCTTCCTACATGTCAGTCATAGAGGATGTTTGACCATACTTCACCACATTGGTTGGTGGTGGTGGAGGAGGTGGTGGCCGGGACCATTTCAGATATCCCTCACCATTGATATTAGCCATAGCTGGGAATCGAACTGAGGGTGGTGGGTTTCATAGTGCGGTGCTCTAACTACCGTAGCAATGTGGAATTTTCACCAATGTGCCAGGACTGCTAATGGACTCGAGCGTGGCCCGGGCATGCTGTCATTCTGCAATGATATCATTGCAATGGAAATGTGTTCATTTGCGAGGCACCCAAGCACGTTTTCTTGCAATAAGTGAGCACCAAATGTCAACAGAACAATAGATTATTTATTTAAGCCAGACATTCCGTAAGGGAGACTTGCTGTTCCGCAATCAAATGCACGGTTATTATTACCCCACCCCCCCCCAGCAATGCTGACTCAAGCACTGTACACTTTGAATAGGGGCCCCCTCGGCGCGACATTGTGTGGCCTTCAATGCGTTTGGCGCTTTGCTCCGCGGACGCTCGCTGACACGCGAGGGACACGTTTTGTTAAATGGAAAAACCAGGGCGGCTTATTTGGTACCACGTCCGTGTGCGCGGTCGCGTGAATTCCCCGCGCTGGTTCCAGATGAGACGAACGAGAAAGCAGCTCCCCAAACGGAACGATGTAGTTGTAGAGAAGGCGCCATTCTTCCTAAAGTTTGACCCACGAACACGACCGACCAAATAGCACCGTCATTTATTTGCTTTGTGTTTATTTGAATGCTTATCCACGCTCGTGTGTTTGCGGTTCAAGCAATGTTTAATCTTCAGCAATGTGAATACAGGGCATCGTTAGTCACAAAGTGTTTCATTTACCTCTTCATTCAGCAGCGAGAAATCCAACGAAGATACTTCAGGAAACTTTGGGTACATTCCTGCATTGGCCAATAGACATTGAGGCAGCACGTATGCATCACGTGACAAATTAAGTTGTACATAAAATGCACATGTTACTGTTTTTAACCATACTTACTACAGTACAAAACTAATACCCAACATAAATAATAATTTCTCAAGTTTCACCAAATGGTGAATTTGAAAAGCATGGAAATTTTGTGGGAATACATTAACACTAAAAAATTATAGCTCCAAGGTCAGAAATCATAATTATATCCAACGCATAAATGTACACTGTACAAGCTGTAGGAATGAAAATGTTTATATGTGACGTGTTTACTCTATGTATGGGTCGTCTGACACCCAGACACTAGTGCAAACAAGATGTTCCAACTCAAGCAATTATCATGACAAAATGTTATTCCCTGATTTGTTTACGCAAAAGTTGGTCACTTTTTAAGTCATTAATTTTTTTATCTTATCCAAATCTTAGTCTCTGGATTTTATTTCGCCATTCTGATAGTCAAACAAAGCAGTCAAAATTAGGTCACTCTTGGTTATTAAACTTCGGGTGTTAGGGGTGCGCAATTAAACCCCCACCCAATATTATCAAGTCAGTCAATCAGTGAACTCTGTAAATCTTGTAAAATACATTTACAGTCGAGCTAATATCCACATTCGGTCTTTCTCAATGCATTGCAGTTTTTAATGACGTTACTAAACTAGCTTGGTATGTTTCTTCATACAAATGGCGGGCAATCATCGTCATAGTCATCTTTACGCCTGATGATTTTTCCCACTCAAAGATTCATCGTTGCCTGGTTTAAAAAACACATTGCGTTGAATGTTTTTTTTATATTCTTGGTTCTAGATTTGAAGCTTTCGTGACTGCAAGGATTCATACTCTTTGGTTTTATTCGGTAAAGTCACGTAGAAGGGAAACAATAAAATAATAAAAATATATAACAATAAAATTATCACGACGTTTCGACTGCAACACAAGCAATCATCATCAGGTGTGAAAACCACAGCAAGAAAATTTGAAAAAAGTGGCGTTTTTTTGTGATCCCCGCAATGTAGGGTCTCCAAAATCTTGAATAAACACAAGATCCAGGTCCGTTTCAACACATTACATAAAATCCGTGATCTGGTTCCATCTGTAAAAGATGTGATTCCGGACATACAGTACCCTGGCGTCTACAAACTAAGTTGCCTCTGTGGTAGTAGTTACATTGGAGAAACCAAACGACATGTCTCGGACCGCATCCGTGAACACAAAGCAGGCCTAAAACACAGTAGGACCAACACCTCGGCCGTGGCAGATCACTGTTATAATTCAGTAGGCTCACATTACATTGACTTCGCCAAGACAGAGGCTCTTTGCAAGCCATCTGGCTACCATGAGAGATTCGTTCATGAGGCTATCCACATATACAAACACAGAGAAAATTTCAACCAAGAAGATGGATTCTGGCTTAGCAATCATTGGAAGGATTTGATAAACCATTTCGGGTCTTAATTGATTGATCACACTTAAGGTGGCTTTCAGACCGCATCCATCATTTTCGTCTCCCCCCTCCTCTTTTCCGAACATAGATGGACTCGTCCATCTGAACAAACTGCCAAATCGCTCTCCGTGGTGCTAACGTTAACAAACAAAAAACGCCACTTTTTTCAAATTTTCTTGCTGTGGTTTTCACACCTGATGATGATTGCTTGTGTTTGCAGTCGAAATGTCGTGAGAATTTTATTGTTTAATATTTTTATTATTGTATTGCTTCCCTTCTACGTGACTTTACCGAAAGAACCAAGAATATGAATCCCTGCAGTCACGAAAGCTTTAAATCAAAATTGAATGTTTTTGTCACTAATTTCCTTTACAGAATTAACGCTGGTAATGACTTTCAGCTGGATCAGCAGTTTGGCCCAAGCAACAACCAAACAAAAACAAACAAGTGACATCGTTAAGTGGTCATGTTGCTTGCTGCAGCAGTGGTTCTGGCAGCTGCTGCTGCTGCCACTAATTCTGCTACTGCCGCTGCACTTTGAGCGTGGAACCTCGTTTGACGGCCGTGCGATAGTTCTGGAAGAGCGTGGAGAGACGCGCCGAGTTGTACATGACGAACGTGCCGCTCCGCCGTCCCCTGGCGGCGCTCGCTCTCTCCGCACCTTCGCCGAGCTCCAGCGGCAGCTGGGGGTATGCGCACGTGACGGAATTAGCGATGAAACGAACGAATGGCGGAAAGTAAAAAAGTAATTTGAGGATTGTTACGCCGTAAATATGCTTACGTGTTGGGTGGCTTTGCACGAACGAATGAAGGAATGAATTGACCCAGTGCCATTCAACCTCTGAGAGAATGTGATGGGGCTTTTTTTTTGTAGTCATTGGTAACTTGGTTTAGACCCGCGGCTCTGTAGCTGCATGCGGTGACTCTTTAAGGACTGCTTCGTGACGTTATTTATCAAGGACCACCCTCTGGTATTTACGTGAATTACGTATTGGCGGCTCTTAAAGCATTGAGTTTTTTTACTGAATTCGAAAAAAAAATCGCTTCTTGTTACTTTGGTTGCTGACCCCTGGCTTCGACCGTTAACTCGCTGCATTTGGGGAACGGGTTTAATGGCAGGTCGCCGCCTGGACTCCAACAAAGGACGTCAACGGCACCAGCTCGGCGCTCTGACCTCAGAGCCCCCCTGGATGCCTCTCTCATTTTTGTTTGAGAGATGTAAAAGTGTGAGATGAAGGGCGAGAGTGAATGGGACAGCGTCACCGTGTGGGACGGCGTCACCGTGTGGAATGAGCTCACCGTGCTGCGGTGAGCCGAGGACAGCAGCTCAAACTTCACCGTCGCTGCGGTCATGACGTCAATAATCTCCTCCCACTCGGGGCCTGTGAACGTGACACGGTCCGGTCATTCAGCTGGTTAAACAACACTCCCATCCACCACGTCAATAACACCTCACATATTCATCCCTTCATGTACACGTACAGCCAATTTGTCAATCCACTGCTGAATGATGGCCTTCCGACACCGTGCGGGTCATAGGAGTTATTTCCTTCATCAAGGTCATCAGTGTGGGTTTGTGAAGGTGGGGAGCTGAGATGTTGGAACATCGTGCAGTATAAACAAATATTGAGCTGCACTGCCCTCTACTGATAGTGTTACATTTGTGTTTATGCATAGTAGGTGCCCACTCAAGCACTATCAAGGTTCAATCTTGCAAAGCTTCTGAGATATGATTTGGTCAGAGCCACCGGTCCCCCCATTATCCGTAAAGTGAATACCACTCTTTTGACTAGACATTAGTGGTCAGCTTATAAGGAAGCCACTGAAGCTATGCACTTTTAAATCTAGATTGAAAACTAATTTCTTTCTAACTACTTTCGTGTTTAGTTTGTTGTCTTTCCCTCGCATCTCCGACTCACACGGTTAGCGACGTACGGTGCGAAAGAAGTTCAACATATATCCATCCAACTTGCAGAAAGAGGCCCCTGATATAAAAAAATGTTGAATATCCACCATTTGTAATCAGCTGCCAACAGAAATTAGCATCAGATAATGTTTGTTGGAGCTAGGGGATACTTTTATACTATGAAAGACTTGATTTGCTTGATCGTTTTATAGAGGTGAAAAAAACCTATGACCTGCGGGCCAGATATGGCTGTCGACTTAATTTCAGACGGCCCACGGCCACAGGAGGCATCCCACTGAGAAACAGCCCACAAAGAGACGCATCCATCACTGCCAGCATCTTAGCCGCACTAAGCAAATACTTTAGGAGGGTTTATTGTCAACAAAGGAACACCGTGTTTCTACGTTTAGCACGTTCAGGCACTTGCAAAGGTTAACCCTAACAATGTTTTGGATTATGGAATAACCCAAAGATGTGTGTTAATGTGTGGCTACATGCCAAAGGTATCTATCTAAAGGCTTTATTCGGGCTTTAGTAAGGAACAGGTTCCCTACCCCGGTAGCAGACGGACGATCGTACCTTGCACTGAGTTCCCGTACTTCATAACTGAAGCCTCTTTCATTTGTGCTCGGCGGAGCCTGGAAGAGAACAATTTGGTTAAGAAGACAGACAGCAAGAGGCTCTGGTTTCTTCCACGTACGACCTGAAGAAGGTAGACAGAATACCCAGGTCTTATGTTACCAACAGCAGAGGAAAACGCGTGTGAATCATCGCCTTCACAAACCCACACCGACTTGCATGCTGCAGCATGGTCAAATAACACTCAGAGGCCAACATCTGACAGTGGACTGTATATGAATGCTTAGACAAAACAGCACGTGTAATTAGAGCTTTGTCTAGAGCAGCAGGTATGCTGTCGATTTCTAAGTTTGGATATCATTTAACGGTTGAACAGTTTCCCTCATAGAAAACTTAAAACAAAAATTAAAATATCATTTCTGGGTGGGATACATCTATTTCCCATCCAATACAATGTAGAGTGCTCAAGTATCTCGTGTTGTAACACATATAAACACAATGTGACCCCAAATTAATTAAAATCTCTTCATAATTATAATAATTTACAGCCCTTTGTAAGTCCACTCCTAGATCAAAGTCACTCCACCCCATGTCAGGCATGGGCGTTATTTGGCTATACTTCACCATGCTGGTGAGCACAGGCTGGTGAAGGGGTGGCCCAGGATTTGTGCAGACAGCACCCACAGCTGATGTTAGCCATGGCAGGGAATGAGACTTGGATCTCCGGGTTTACAGCTCAGCACGAAAACCACTGCACCAAACAGGATCTCCGGGTTTACAGCTCAGCACGAAAACCACTGCACCAAACACCACACCCAGGATAAAAGTAGCGTACCGCAAATAATCAAGTGCGTCAACCTGCGAAGTCCCTTCTCCCGTCTTCACACTGCCAACCACCACGTGCCTCTGTTGCAAAGAATACATGAGACGTTGCAGGCTGGTCGGTGATTTTCTCCAAAGCAAAATCAATACTACAGACATTGTTTTTATGAAAAGAGTCCAGAATATGTATTGACTCTCGGAGGTGTCATGCAACTAGCCCCTAGAGCAGACATTATTCGTAGATGGCTGAATTAAATCATTGTGTTTCAAATTATATTTGACGTGCAGTGTAAAACATTTATTTTGAAAAACATTTGTGTACAACGAATCGTGAGCAATAGCCATGCATAATGAATCATATGGGTCATAGGCACATACAGGGTATGGTGAATGGGCTGACGACACCAGTGAAGGCCAGAGAGCACTATTAACTTACCTAAATAACAAAGTCCAGTAAAACCTTGGATTGCGAGTAACTTGGTCTGCGAGTGTTTTGCAAAACGAGCGATTTTTTAAAAATACATGTTAACTTGATTAACGAGCGAGGTCTTGCAATACGAGTAGTACGTACACGCTTTGTCTGCCGAGCGTCACGTGATCACAACTGAGCCAATGGTTCTTCTCTCTCTCTCGCTGCGGGATTGTGGGTAATCGTTTTCCATGCTCGGTCTCAGTCGGCGTGCCTCACTCGTATAGTCAACATCCGTGCGAGCGTATACTGTTTACTGTGACCACGTGTGTGTGCGTAAAGCATTTTTTAAATTTTGTGTCCAAGTGCAGTGACTGTTCTTTAGTAACTGTACTGCAACAATGGCCCTTTTAAAGGATTCCGTGAAATCCTTTAAAAGGAGGCAAAAGCAAGTGTCATTGGATAGGTTCCTTGTTAAAGTCGCACAAAAAGAAAAATATTCCAGTGAGCCAACAGATAGCAGTGATTCCGAAAGTCGTCCTGCACAATAACCCTCATTCTCTCCTCTCTCTCGTCTCCCTCACACCATCCACGATTAAATTTAATTAATGAATTTGATTACTTTAAATTACATTTAAATAATAAAAATATAAAAAGGTATTTTGTATTAATCATTTTTATATGAAATTTTTTGGGTTGTGGAACGAATCATCTGAGTTTCCATTATTTCTTATGGGGAAATTCGCTTTGATATACGAGTGCTTTGGATTACAGACACGTTTCCGGAACGAATTATGTCGCAATCCAAGGTTTTACTGTAATGGCCGTCACGAAAGAAATGGATATTCGTGCAATTTCTAAGAGTTAATATTTATTACAGTGAATATTTATTCAACTTGCACGTTATGTTTGCGTGACGCTTTTGCTTTTGTTTCTATGTGGAGTTCACCTGCATCTTCACAGCATCACTCTGACCAACCAACTGAAGAAGCAAATGAACTTTCTGCTGGTTAAACTCCTCTTCGCAACAAACGATATGCAGAAGACGGGTCTGAAAACATAAACAGACATGCAATGAACACACTGGAAATGCAGTAGCAAACTGATCTTGTATCACTGTGTAGGTTTTAGCAGTTGTGCTTTATAGCTCTTCAATGTTTTTTTGGGTTGTCCCATCTGGTGTTGAGCCTTGGTGGACGTTTCGCCCCACATTATGGGATCTTCTTCAGAAACTGAATTTGGAACTGAATTCACACGTTACCCCACCAGCACATATGACTAGCAGATTGACCAACTCTGGTAATCCCATTTATTCTTCTAAACTAAAACCATTTTTATTTTTTTTATTTTACCAGGTAAGGCCCACTGACCTATAATAGCTCTTTTTCAGAAGCGACCTGGTCACAAATGATAGCTCAACGAAGTGGCTTATCATGTGCAAATGTATATACGCCAAATACTTTAAACGCATGTTGATACTAAATGTGGAGGTCAAAAACCAGAGGACCCAGAGAAAAATACATGCAACAACGGGGAGAATATGCTAACTCCAAATATATACGTGTCAGGGTCGGGATTGAACCCACGTCCTCCTGCATACCAGATGAGGTAGTTAACAGCCCGCCACCAGGGCTAGAGGTTTGGGGGGGGGGGATTTAAGAAACTTGCACGATTATTTCAAATGGGGCGCCAGGAAATCGAACCAGCGACCTCTGGATTGCAAGTACAGTGGAGCATTATGACCAAGAGGCATCTAGTAAGTGTGCGCAGACAGGAAAACTTACCTCACCGCCTTGGCAGCCATTCAGCGCAGCTTCCAACTCGACCACTTGAGCCAAGTATTCGTCATCAACTGCATGAAACCCACAGCACAAACAATGTTTAAACATCCAATCAGATTCACAACGAATCACCGCCATGTTCAAACCCAAAAGTGAGATGCTGTTCGTTCAACACAGTACAAAATATGAATGTGCAAGGAACATATTTACTCGACATGTATTGATTAATTTTCCCCTTCTGCAGCGATTTTGATTAATTGATAAAAGAATAAATTATTGTCTCATTTTTACCGTTTTGTTAGCATTTCTTTATTTTGTCCCATAAGATGTTTCACTTCCTGAGCTTATAATTAGCAATTCATTCGCATAAATTAAAAACAATCCATTCTGACACACATGATTAGTTGCATATATTGTAAGCGTAATAATCTATTTTAATTCAGGGATCAGTGCATTCCTGCACGCCATATATTTACCCAAGACGGTGTTTAGATTTGGGTCCATCCCTTCAAGGCAATGCGTGCTCACAAACTGCTGGAGGTTGACTCTGTACATTTGATCAGGAGATGAACGAGCTGATTTTGCCTCGTTCGCCACTCTGGTTTCCCTCTCCGCTTTCTCCTTCTTCCTGTTCGTTTCCAGTTCCGGCTCGGAACGGCGTGAGAGTTTGGTTTCGGTCGCACTCTGCCTCTCCACTGGCTCCGCGAACCCTGACTGCAGGAGCCGCGACCGGCACTCCGCCACGGGGTCAGTGAGAGGATCAGAGTCACCGTGCGCCGCTGTTTTCTCGGCTGGTAATGTCGGCCACTCAACCCGGAGTGGTTTCAGGACCTCCACGTGTGCCCCTTCCTTGATGGCTGGACATTTGTACACGTGATAGCTGCGCACATAATATACAAAGCACGTCTCATTCTTATATCGAGGATCAAAGGGTCAGCAAAGAGTTGAAACTGAATGCAAAGTCAATATGGCACAAGCGTTCATCTACTACAGTACTATACGCCACATTTATTTTTCACGTTACTTACGTTTTATCACATTTAGTTTCTTAACACAATTATTTAATGTTTAAGTTTAATTCCAAATTTTACTCCGATCGTGCTATCAGCATCATGAGATGAAGAATCAATTTGTAACTCTTGCAGAGCTGTGCATTACCCACCCTGTGTTAGGCAACAGCTCACAAGAGTTATCACAGAACTACACACTAAAGGGTGGTGCTCATTTCCACCTCCTGATAGCAAAATTGTTGTTCTAAGAGTTGATTTTTTTCCCACATTACGTGGAAACTAAATTTTATCGAGTGTTTTTGTGCAGTCATTGGTGATGGGGCTGTGACAATAAATTAATCGCACTTAACCCTAGATTTTGATATATCAATCGCCTCAGTAATACAGCATTTGCCCCCTCAGTACAGGTTATAGCATCTACAGGTGTTATGTGGGAAGAGTTCCAAGTGATGGCACAAGACCATGAGAAGTGGATGCAACTGTTTTCCCGATGTATCAATGCAATGGGACACGCACTAAGTAATAAACGGGTCATCCTCACCCATCAAGCGAAAGCAGTCTTGACAGCTGATGGGCAAGGAGAACAGAACGCAGATGCCCTGGTGTGAGCGGCTCGCATCGTTGCAGACACGGACAGTTGACCACCACGGAACTTCGGAGCTCTCGCTTTGCAACTTCTGGTAAATTCCCGTGTTCCTGACACTCGCAACAATAACCATCCTCGCTCGACGAGCGCTCATTTGGCAAACAGCAGTTCAGCGAGAGCGTTTTAACAGACGGTTGGTCTGCCGTGCCTTCAAGTGACGCCCTGTGGCCTTCTGGTGTGCCAGCATCACTCATGAGGTCCGATGCGGGGTGTCTTCCCAGTACCCTGTTGTACATTTCACGCCGATCGAACCGAACAGCCAGACCGCTCTCTGTCTGCACGCAGTCGGTAACGGTGGGCAGCCTGAGATCATGCGAGCTCATCAAATCGGCGATGAACGCGCTAGGAACCTGCGCACACACACACAGCGGGAAAACTCAACTTTAGACGTTGTAAACCCCCTGTGTGGTCCAGCTTTGGACATTTAATGATCAAATCTGCATGGATCGTAGAATGTTGTCTGACGCGAGTATGGGGGAAGACTGCAGGTAAGGGGCCGTCCATAAATGACGTCACGCGATTTTGGATGATATTTGACCCACCCCCCCTTCGTCACACGTCACAAAACGTCAAATATGACGTCACAAAGCTCTGCGGCCCCCCCGCCCCCCAAATAATGCTTCAAATCGCTTTAAACTGTCATTGTAGTGCGTATTTAATGTGGCGCTGCACTCTGATGTTGTAGGATAAAACATTTATTAAAAAGTCTTTAATTAAGTAGAACGTGTTGTCTATATTTATTTAAAGTTGCGCATTTTGATGTGACGTCACATTTCTCAACCCCCCCACCCCCCTCGTCACACATCGTCACAAATGTCTGACCCCCCCCCCCAGGTGCGTGACGTCATTTATGGACGGCCCCTAAATACGTCAACTTGGGAAAGTCGTTGAGCCTTAAGGTGTGAACCATAACCAAACGCTGCTGTTTGTTTCGTTCGGTAAAGTCACGTAGGTAGAAACAATGATAGATCACGACGTGTCGATCGCAACAAAAGCGACCGTCTTCAGGTGAGAGAGAGCTACTGAAACAAGGTCTTATGTAGGCTTGAGATGGGTGCAGCCTCAGGGTAAGAGGGCGGGGCTAGAGATGGTCTGCCTGAGGCTGTGGAAGTGGCTATTGTATTGTGCGAGATTAGCACGGCAATGCCACCGCATCGGTGACTTGCCTAACATGAGTGCAATCCAAAGGACATGTGAGCATGAGAGTGCAATCCAAAGGACATGTGAGCATGAGAGTGCAATCCAAAGGACATTTGAGCATGAGAGTGCAACCAAACGCTCATCCAACAATTATAAAAAATGTTAAGACTCAGGCAAAACATTGGATCGATTGTTTTGCCAAAACTCGACTCCGAAACGGCCCCGTGATCCGTGTATCAAACAAATCAGTCGAGACGCCGGTGTATGACAGCAAGAGCAGTTTCAGCGAATGCTGTCGCAAGGGGTCACACGTTTGGTGCAACGGTTCTTCGCCGACTATGCGTGGTGAATGAATGAGCTCGTGACAACTCATCATCACCACTCGCCGAGGTAGGTAGGAGGGGGTGAGAATGGGAGAGCAATCCATCTCATCATCCCAAGCCGAGTAAAACGAGCGCCCCAACTGTTGGCGGCTTGCGCGTGCTTGTGTCTGGAACTGCGCGAGAGCCGCGTGTTGCAGGGGCGTGAGAGCCATTGCAGTACCTGGCCCCCCTCAAACAGCATCACCAGCACCCCCTGAGGCACCACCAGGTCCCTCTGCCCGAGGTTCCTTGCACTGCACTCCTTGAACACTCGCGCCGGGCGGGTTTCTCGCGAGCACCGCGCCTTCCCCGGCGGCTCCACGTGTTCCGCGAGCTGCTCGGGGAGTGGCTTTGGCCTCGGCGCTGCGTGTCTCATCAGCAGCTCCTCGACAGCTTCGATGCACCGCGACACGCTGAGCTCATGCCGCCTACCCATGGGCGCCGCCATGCTGCGCCCGGCCACGTCCGGGCAGAACACACACGCGCGAAGGCGTGAACGTGTTTTTTTTGTTCCGGGTGGTTGTTGATGTCATCCTATTGTGTACTCGATAAAACCCATGCTCAATGTATTTATTGACAAAGCAATAATGTCACATGTTAAAGCATTTTTAGGAGAATGATTATATTATTCGTACATCATTAAGTATGGGGAGGGGGCATGAATTAAAATATTACAAAAATTAAAACGAGTAACGATAATCGTAATATATGCACTTCGATACGGACGATACGATTATCGTATATGGTCGTACGGTAACGTATCGTGGTATCGCCGTATCGTGGTATCGCCGTATCGTGGTATCGCCGTATCGTGGTATCGCCGTATCGTGGTATCGCCGTATCGTGGTATCGCCGTATCGTGGTATCGCCGTATGGTGGTATCGCCGTATCGTGATATCGCCGTATCGTGGTATCGCTGTATCGTGGTATCGCCGTATGGTGGTATCGCCGTATCGTGGCGAGCCCGAGTGGATTGGTTGTCAGGCGAGCACGTGGTTGGTGCTGTGGGACTCGTGGTTTATTCCTTCCTCACACGCCCAGTCTCCTCCACCTGCCTGTCACAGCGACAAAGATCTCAACAACGTCAACAACAGGTATGTATGTATGTAGCCAGTCGGCGTCGTGTGGTGGTCTTGATGATGATGATGGGTTGACCAAAACGTTCGCGATGACCGCCGCCGCCGCTGCCGCCGCTGCTGCTGGGTGGACATTTCCGTGCCACGGCGGTGCCGAGGGCGGAGGGCGCAATGGATCGCCACGATCACCACATTCACCACGATCACCACGTTCACCACGATTACCACGATCACCACGATTACCACGATCACCACATTCACCACGATCACCACGATCGCCACGATCACCACTATCGCCACGATCACCACGTTCACCACGATCACCACGTTCACCACGATTACCACGATCACCACGTTCACCACGATCGCCACGATTACCACTAACGCCACGATTACCACCAACGCCACGATCACCACGTTCACCACGATCACCACGTTCACCACGATTACCACGATCGCCACGATTACCACTAACGCCACGATCACCACGATCGCCACGTTCACCACGATCGCCACGATCACCACTAGAAGTGGCAAATCTTGACCCGGACATTTTTTGCCTAACAGAAACATTTCTCACTCCTGCCGTCAATGACTTGCAGATTACGATTGACAACTACAACCTTTTTCGGCTTGACCGAGGATCTAAAGGAGGTGGAATTGCCATCTATGTTCGTAACACTATTGCATGTTCACCAGCTCACTCCTTGTTTAAAAAATGTTGCTTTGAAGGTCTGGCTCTCAGAATAACTCTCCCAAATAATCAACAGATATTGGTAGTGTGCTGCTATAGACCGTCTTGTGGGAAGGATGTTGAAGCTGCATCGGCACTGAGAGAGCTTTTTGGGGGCCTCCCTAAAGGTGAAATAGTTTTAGGGGGTGATCTAAATTGGAATTGGCTAAACCCGCCGGCCGTGGCCACAAATTTTGTAGATGAATTTAACCTGTTTCAATTAATAAATGTCCCCACAAGACCCAACCTAAAAAATCCGGGACAGTCAACTCTGCTTGACGTCCTATTGACAAATGCCCCTCACAATTTCGCACTGACTGGTGTTCTGGGTAATGACCTTAGTGATCACTCCTTCATTTTTGGTGTGAGATCATCAGCCAGACCCAAAGCCCCCCCTAAAATTGTTGAGAAGCACTCTTTGAGGCACTTCTGCACTCAGGCATTTACAAATGATGTGCTTCACTCGGATATTGATAAGGTCTGTGATATCACCAACCTGACTACGGCTTGGGAGACTTTCAGGTACACGTCTCTCCAAATTCTTAACAAACATGCTCCGTTGGTTAGATTTAAAACTAAAGGCAACCGCCCACCATGGTATGATCCTTTGATTACAAAGCTCATGAAAACTAGGGACAAGGCTTGGGCATGTGCTCAGAAAAGTAATTTGGTAAATGACTGGCTAGAATACAGGATTTTAAGGAATAGATGCGTAAAAAAAATACGGCATGCAAAAAATGCCTATTTTTCCTCCACTCTCCTGGAATCACATGGAAATGCCAGTATTTTTTGGAAAACAATCAAATCTATCGAAAAGGCATCCAAAACAGAAAATCTGTCCGTTGAGCTTCACTGAAATGGGGAATATTTTTCAGATCCCAAAAAAATAGTTGACAATTTTAACCTTCATTTTTCTGAAGCTGGTAATCTTTTTGATAATGTATTGGGAGTCATCCCTGCTCCTGTAAATCCCTACACCCCTGTCCAAACATGAAACGAATTTAGTTTCCAACCAATCCACGAAAGTAATGTTCTGAAACAACTGTCCTACCTCAAAGGGTCCTCCTCTACCGGAGCAGATAGTTTTCCCGTCTTTGCGCTACTAACTGTTGGTCACCTAATATACAAACCTATAGCCCATATTTTCAACCTGTCCATCAAAGAAGCATCAGTTCCTCTAGAATGGAAACATTCCTATGTCCGTCCACTTCACAAAGGGGGCCCTAACGATGATCCCAATAACTACCGACCTATCTCAATTTTTTCCCCATTGATGAAAATTTTTGAAAAATTATTGAACTACCAAATTTGCAGTTTCCTGTCCACCAGCAATCTACTACATCTAAAACAATCTGGGTTCTGGAAAAATACAGCACCACATCTGCTGCATTAGACTCTTTGAATCAAATTTACAATAGCCTTGATAATAAGCAGTACTGTGCCTGTCGTTTTCTTGACCTGTCCAAAGCTTTTGATACAGTAGACCACAACATCCTGCTTAGTAAACTAAGTTGCCTCGGTTTTTCCGAGAACACAGTACAATGGTTAAAAAATTACCTCTTTTCTCACACCCAAACTGTATTCACAGATGGTTGGAGGTCAAACAGTGTTAAGATAACAAAAGGGGTTCCACAGGGTTCCATCCTCGGCCCCCTCTTGTTCTTTCTTGATGTCAATGACTTGGGCACTGAACTGGATCATTCCAGGGTAAATCTTTTTGCAGATGACACGATACTGATTACTGCTGGCCGCTCTCTGGATGACGTGATTGCTAAGCTCCAGGGTGATTTCAACAAACTACAACATCAGCTAGTTTATCTTAAACTAGTCCTGAATACCTCCAAAACCAAGGTGCTATGCTTCTCTCCGGGACTAAAGCAGGAAGTTATTTTTCCCCAATTACATTCCTTGAATAATTATCAAATAGAGCAAGTCAAGATCTGTAAGTATCTTGGGGTCATCCTGGATTCAAAACTTAGTTTTGAAGATCATATTGATTATATTGGTAAAAAGACAAAAATAAAAATTGGTTTTCTGTATCGACACAAGCACTGCTTCCCCCCAATGTTCCTTTTGGAATTGATAAAAGCTACCATGCTGCCTCTACTTGACTACTGTGACATCGTGTATAAATCAGCCCCACGTACTGTACTGAAGAATCTTGATTCCATCTATCACTCGGCCTTAAGATTTGCATTGAACTGCCCATATAGGACTCACCACTGTGATCTCTACATTGGGTCAAACTTAACATCTCTTAATGTTCGACGGCTTGTGCACCAGATCTTATTTATTCACGATGTACTTACAAAAAATTCCGCAGACTACCTACTGGATCTCCTCTCTGTTTCAAAGAACAAATTTGACCTCAGGTCTTCGCTCATTTACCAGCTTCACATTCCCTATTGCCGTACAAAAACTGGAGGAAGGGCCTTTGCTATTGATGCCCCCAGGGTCTGGAATGCTATTGCCAATAAACTTTGAATCACTACCTATGAGATCTTCACTCAAAGCTGCTCTAGAGGAGTTGTACAACCCTAGCTGCCACTGCTATTCAGTGGCCTAAAATATGGCTCTAGATTTTGGTGTTATAATTTATTTATGTAGTTTATTGTTAAAAATTCGGTCACAGTCCCTATGATCACTGTTACATTGGATTTATGGCTTTTATTTTGGTGATTTCGAAAAGTTTTTTTTTGGCCATGTTTTTGTTTATTGTAGTACGGAGTTAGACTGATGGCCTTAATCTTAGTTGTCTTGTGGTTGTTGTTGTTATTTGACTTGCATCCCACTGGGATTTTTGCACACAGCGTTGGTGTACGGTGCTATTTCAGGAATATTTTGATATTTTTGTTCCTGTATTTTCTGTTTGCACAGTCACATAATCACTTTAAGATGTTTTCTTGTTCATGTTTTTTTGTTTGTTGTGGTTGCACCCGATTCAAGAGCCGAATGGCTCACAGGGCTATACCAAATAAATGAACTATGAACTAACGCCACGATTACCACGTTCGGCGATCCGAGTGCGACCCGCGTTTGTTAATCCTCTGCCCTGGCGATCGTATCTGTGTAAATATATAAATGTGTTGTTAAACCCGCCACCACCCGACACAGCCAACTAGTAAGGGTTGTCACGTAAACAAAACGTGGCCAACTAGTCACTAGTACAGCACGCAGGTTGTGTGTTGGAGAGCCAAGCCACAACATTTACAATCGACGTACGACGTTTCGCCAGTAATTACAACTAGCTTCATCAGGCGATAGACAGATTTGTGAAGTCCACCTGTTTCGTTCCTTATGTCGTGACATTGTGGGATGTCACTATGTGGTGCCGCCCCTAGAGAGTCACGGCGTGCGGTGTGGCGGCATCGCGGGCACCACGAGGGAGTGGGTGCGGCACCGCCCTAGAGAGTCACGGCGTGCGGTGTGGCGACATCGCGGGCACCACGAGGGAGTGGGTGCGCACCGCCCTAGAGAGTCACGGCGTGCGGTGTGGCGACATCGCGGGCACCACGAGGGAGTGGGTGCGGCACCGCCCTAGAGAGTCACGGCGTGCGGTGTGGCGGCATCGCGGGCACCACGAGGGAGTGGGTGCGGCACCGCCCTAGAGAGTCACGGCGTGCGGTGTGGCGGCACCACCCCCAGAGAGTCACGGCTGACAGCGCTGAGTGGCACCACGCTCTGCGTGCAGTGCCGGCCCCTACAGGATGGGGTGCGGGAATGCCGGCCATGGAGATGGGGGAGCCGTCCATAAATGACGTTACGCATCTATGGGGGGGGGGGGGGGTCAGACATTTGTGACGATGTGTGACGAGGGGGGAGCGGTTTGAGGAATGTGACGTCACATCAAAATGGGCAACTTTTATTAAATATAGACAACACTTAAATTTCGATTTAACAACACGTTCTACTTAATTAAATATAATTTGTAATACATGTTTTCTCCTACAACATCAGAGTGCAGCAACACATTAAATACGCACTACAATGACAATAGTTTAAAGCGACTTGAAGCATGCTTTATTTGCAAAATGGAAATATGGTTTTGGGGGGGGGGGAGGCAGAGCTTTGTGACGTCATATTTAAGGGGGGGTCTGACTTATTGTGACGCCGTGTGACGAGGAGGGGGGGGGTCAAAAATCGTCCAAAATCGCGTGACGTCATTTACGGACGGCCCCTGGGGTTACTAAGGGCCGTGGCACTCTGGTTGACCCCAGAGGACACGTGACCGGTAAAGTCTACACAGGGGCCCCAAGTGGGGGCTAGGGGTGGTCACGTGGTCGGGGTCCAGATCCTGCTCGAGGATTCTTTAAGGTGGGCGTGGCCAAGGGCGGGGCCGGCCACGCCGCAGAGGATAGAAGCCGGCTCCCCCAGAGGGACCGGCCTTGTTGTTGTTCATCCTGAAGCAACCTTCGTCAGACCGGGACCCAAGCTGTGGTCCGGTCAGCCTGGTGGTCACGTAGCTAGTTAGGTTGTAATTAGTGTAGTTAGCCTGGTGGTCACGTAGCTAGTTACGTTGTAATTAGTGTAGTTAGCCTGGTGGTTACGTAGCTAGTTACGTTGTAGTTAGTGTAGTTAGCCTGGTGGTCACCACCATAGGTTATTATTCTGTGAAGGGGCAGTTACCCCGTGTGTTGGTGTTCATAAGTGTGTTGCCTCCAAAGAGTACTTCTGTGACTCAGTTGAACTCACTACACTTAAATAGAGGCGTAGATGTGACCACACCCGTGCACTCGTCTTGTGCAAAGTGGGGGGGGGAGTTAATGAATAGCCGTACCAACGGTAATCCCGATTGAAGTATGGTGGCCTGTATAGGCATGCAATTAAACAATGTATTATTTGATAATAATTCGCTTCCACGCAGCACTAAGTCAGTAGCTATCAAAACGGTTAACGTAATTTTTTATTTATTTCAAATTCAAGTTCACTTCTATTATCCTGTATTCTCTCTTTTAGCACAATTCACTAGCTTTATGTATTATTTGATTCTCTTTCAGTGACTTAATGTGATGAGTTACTTTAACTGTGTGTGGTATTACCTTTGAATCTCTGCATCTTTTGAGGACATCCAGTGAAGACAACAGCTTCATCCGCTTAATTCGGCATTCTCCTCTAGCAAAACGATGCCACCTCTCAACTCCCGAAGCCCCCTTTTGTGGCGGCGAGCAGACCCACACATTGGCATCGAGATTTCTGAACATTCACATCATTAGACCTCCTTTGCCAGTACCAAAATATCATTTATAGGGGTTTTCCCCTTTTTTCTGGCAACAAAACTGAAACCTTTTTACAAGGAATCATGTGTGCATTAACCACAATACTTGTGGTCAAAATGCAAACAAAAAACACACGATTAGAGTGTACGGATGCGGATATCTGATGCACAAATGGAAAATTAAAAACTGCCCGGTGTGCGACTGGTCATTCAGAAGAGACAGCGATGATACACTACTATGCTACTGCCCCTGGCGCTGTGGTTGTCTGGGCTTGAGAGCCTGAATGTGACGTTGTCGTTGTTGCACTGCATCTACATCAGCCGTACGATAGAAGAAGTATTGTGGTAACACTCCAATTTAGAGGCCTTTTTCAATCCACTGTTAGATGAAGGCCGCCCCAACGCCGAGTCTGTCATGGGGATTATTTGACCATACGTCACCATGCTGGTCTTTGGGGTTTGTGAACGGGAGGCCCAGCTATTGGTTCATGGCCAGGCTTCACACTCGGGTCGCCGGGTTCATAGGTTATGTTGTAAGGATAAAGGGGCATCCCTGCAAGTACTTGCAGACGCCACACCTGGCAGCAGAAGGGCCTTCACGAGAAGGAGAGCTCTGGACAGCCCCTCTTAGAGGGTATTTTGACCTTGGAAGAAGTGGGAGAACTCACACTTTATCCCCACCACGTGTGATTTTTCGATCACCTAATTGTGGTGGTGTACCGATTTATACTGCTGGGTGGACACATTCGATGGGATTTAAAGAAATGTGCACCATTAATTCAACTGCAGTTTTGAGAGATTGAACCGGCGTTTGCTGTATCAGTGCTTCTCAACCTTTTTCATTCAACGGATCACTGTCGAGCTGGCTCCATTTTCCCTGCCACACCGAACCAAAACCTCGCTGTGGGTGGATGGGTGGGAGGGATTGCGTTGTAGCCGAGAAAGATTTTGCGCCTGCTTGCTGATGCTCCTCTTATGACAAGAGGGAAATCAATTGGCGCGCTGCCAAATCCGAGGGACAAGAATTTGTCCAACTGTAGAAGTGTATTTTTAGTCTGTGTGAGTGTCTCTGTCTTTGTGTGTCTTTCCGTGGGGAGCAGGAGTTACCGTGCTGCACTCCAAACCCAGTGACCCGAGTTCTATTTACGCTCACAGTCAACACCAGTAACGATTATCTGAACCAGTTTTGGCCCTCCCCAAGGTCGACTCAGCCTTAAATTAGTACCTGGTGCGGTGTTTAAACATCGCCACTGGGGAGACAAAGTCGGCCGGGAATGGTGCTGGTCACCCACTCTCTCATTTTCTGTGCTGGCCCTTATAAGTGCTCGAAAACAGAACTTCCCCCAAAAGCCTGTTAAGGCTATACAGGGATCTTTGTCTGTAGGTCTTTTTGTCCATTTTTTTGTGTGCCACTGAGTGTCTCCCTGTGTGTGTAACTCCGTATCTCTGTGTCTCTCTGTACGTGTTTTAGCGTCTCTGTATTTGTCTTTGCGTTTGCCTCTGTATCCCCATGTGTCTCTTTAACTGCATATGCGCGATCAAGTGAGTTGAGAGGGCTGGGGGTGGGGGATGACGGCTGTCCGCAGTCCTGCGCATGCCTGACAAATGGAGAGGGGGTGGGAGGTGGGGGCTTTAAATTTTATATTTTCCTGTAATTCCGAAAATCCCATGGCACACCTGGGGATTTTCCACAGCACACCGATTGCGAAGCATTGCTCTAGATTGAAATTCCAGTGTGCACCTAATATCAGCACCTTTTCCCCAATCCTTATATATCTCAGGCCTTCCATCTCTTCATGTGCACGTGCCCCCCCCCCCCCCCTTGTGTGCAGAGAGGCCGTGAGCGTGCGCTTGGCGTCACAGCACCATGGGCTTGTTTTCGGCCTGCTTCATCGTACTGGATCTTCCCTCATGGCCCCGACGTCAGCGGCTACAGCTCAAGGAGCAACTCACCGCCCATGGCGCAATCATCTCGCACGCTGTCACCTCCCACGTGAGCGCCGGGCCTTGATGGAAAGATTGTTGTATAGTACAACGTCGCATATCCGACCGTCACCTCTCAGCCCTGGCCAATTATGCATCTTGGCCAGACGTCTTGTAGGAAGTCATATTCTATAGATGTTCACAGATCAGGCCTTTTTGCATTCTTAATCGTGCACACATTTTCACACTTCTAATGTACATGGATGCATTTTGATAAGTTTAAAAGTAGTTTTCACTTTTTTAATAACAAAAATAATATATTCTCCTGGTATCCAATTAGTGTTGTGAAGTCGGTAATGAAAGATACGTCTTTGCAGGCGGTTTCAAGTGGTAAGCCTCATGTGGCTATGGGCCGTGTGAAATGAGATCGCAGGTCATATCTTTATCTAGGCCCACAGGCTGCAACTTTCTGACTCCTGCTAAAAACGATCTGCTAGAAGTGAACGTTCTTCTTTGTAGCCCCACTGCTGCATCAAACGGTCGAGTTTGCAATCACTCCTTGTCCCTCTTCACTCACGAGACTTCGGAGTCACTTAGAAGCATGCTTCCGCATGAGACACATGCGTGTAATGCGCGTTGGTGATTGATAATCCCTGTCCCGTAGTGCACGCATCTGGTGGTGTCGGCAGAAGGGGCTGGCTCTCCCTCGCGCTTGAAGCTGGCAGCCAAGCACGGCGTGCGAGTCGTGTGCCCGGAGTTCCTGGATCGGTGCTTCGCGACAGGACAGCTCTTAGAGCCGGCGCTCGCCGACGATCCTGCCGACAACAACAACATCGCCGTCGGCAATGAAGGTCGGTGTCGGTGATTGTAAAGAAGCCACAGTAAAACCCTCTTCTCGAGAGCGTTTTCAAGAACGTAACCCTCGCGAATGCAAAAACCTTTTTCATCGGGGAAAAATGGGGTTACGTCCCTCGTACGAGTGGGGGGGGGGGGCGAATCGTAAATGTTTCGTAACAACGGCTATATAAATGAATAATAATGATAAAGAACAATGTGTTTTTTTAATTACCTTTGATGATGATGGTTTGGCGACGATAGAGATGATGGTGGTGGTGGTGGTAGTGATGGTGAGGAATTCAGGAGGATGACTCCTCGGGAGATGGATAACGCCACACAGCTGTTATGAGGACAAAAAGGGCAGCCGAGGCCTCGTGCCGAATCTTCGCAGACAGTTTCAAATGTAACAACATTCTGCACGCACCTCCCTGGTGCCGGTGGTCTAGCACTATGTACACTCGTGAATGCTGGAGTCCGGCGGGTCGGAAATAAGAAATTAGTGTTTATTTAGTAACTCGCAAATATGCCAAACACGCAAATCCAGAACTCGCGCATAGCAGGGGTTTACTGTATTTATTAATACAGTAATTAAAACACTCGGGCATTTTCCAGTTGGCTTTTTTACACCGCTGTACAGCTATCTTGAATATCACAGCCATGTGTTTCCGCTGATAATTGTGTTTGTTCCTTGCATTTTGATTCAGAATGTTGTTCTGGCAGTGCTTGTAATGCATATTATTGTTATTCTTTTACAAATTTAGATTTTTTTTCCTTCCCCTTACCATTACCTCTCCCAAACAGAACGAGAAAATGGTGTCGTAACTAGTGCTATCCGTACCAAAACACGAGATCACAAACGAGGACCGCCAGCAGAGGAAACATTTGAGCTCAACAAAGTCAAGTAAGCCACACGTTCTGAATTAAACTGAGAAACGTGTAACTTTTGTTCCTCATTGGCTGATATAGGAATTTACTTCGAATGTACTTTCTACAAATTGACTTTATAAACCCACGTTGAAACTTGTAATGTGACAACAAGAGATCGTCACAGTTTCATTGATTAACATCAGTTCTTACGCTCGCAATGCAAGCATTTAAACATTTAAACATGCTTGAAAAAATCGATTGTTTGGAAATGTATGCTTAATTCTATGCTAATGGAACGAATACTACAGATTGCACATTCATAAAAGACCGGAGAAAATGACACAGAATTTGAGACAGACATTACGATTTAAGAGTACAATTGAAAACACAATTGATACTTGAATTGTGATGTTTAATCGAGTCGCGGAGTGGGGGATTATCACAAGCCGAGTTCACGATATTTTTCTGGAAAAAAATATTGTTCAATATTACAAACACAAAATACATTGTGTCTATATTTCTGCTAATGCTGTCCCTTAAATTGTATTTAAAGTAGAAGTTCATGATTCACATTATGCAATACTCTTTAAGTCATGTTGGCATCAACCCTGTGGTGTAAACGTGGATATACAATACTCATTTTGCAGTATTACAATAGTCGTACTAGCGCGTAGTCTTAGCGTGTTGTCTGAGTTGGAGTTTTGTAATGAATAGTGAATACGGTATGCAGGCTTTGGGTTGATGATGATGAGGACATCAACCGGCCCGCTTTCCCAGAGGAGTTTGAGATGGTGCGATCTGCAATTTTCTGTAAGGTAGGTGTTGTGACAGAGATTATAGAGCACACATTACTTTTTGCACTTTTTTGTCAATTATCTTCCACTTTTGCTATCAGTGTCATGTTCTCATGATATAAAGATTTTTGTTTTTGCAACTCACAGAAAATGGAGTAACATAATCCCACGTTTGAGAATGGCCTCTGAAAGATAACATCACAATATTTTTTTCTGAGGCCCCTTCAATTACCTTCTCACATGCCCTGCTTCATGAACGTGTATTGAAAGAACCAAAGAGTATTGCATAGCAGTTAAAGTACTTTGCCGAACTTAAACCAACCTTAACTGAATGGGTTTTTGTGCAGTCCCAAGTGACCAGGCTGAAACCTTCAAGTCGCTCTACTTTCTTTAAACACAGGCGGCTGAATCCGAGATTCGCCCTTCTCGCACGCCAAGCCACCCGACTGCCACTACGAATTTGCATTCTATGTTTGTGCAATCGTGAACGATGTCAACGCTGACGTTTTGACATTCTGCTCTCAAAGACGAGTGAGAAGGAGCAGACGAAGGAGCAGTATTGGGCGGTCGTAGAAGTTCAAGCAGCTCCACACTCCAGCGGCCTCGTCTTCCGTGTTGCTGCCTACCACGCCACCTGCAAGAACTCCGACAAGGTCAGGTTCTCTTGCACGTCGTTCATAAACTAGGGCATGCTGCCGTGTGATGGTTTCATGGTTGATACATCCGCAGGATCAATCCGGACGACTGCGGGATTCGAACCGGGAACCTCTGCAACAAGTGGCGAACGCACTGGAGTGTTTTTTGTTTGCATTCTGACCACAAGTATTGTGGTTAATGCAGACATGATTCTTTGTAAAAAGGTTTCAGTTTTGTTGCCAGAAAAAAGGGGAAAACCCTATTCTTATATGGTGGTTTTCCGTTATATTGTTTGCATAATACACACATAGTGTCAAATGAAAATAAAGAAATAACATCACATGTTGTAAATGCTTTACTCTGGTTATAAACGGAAATAAATAATATTTACTGGGGCACCCCATCCCTTATTTATCCAGATAATTCGAGGACATGCTTGTACCTATTTGAACCTGAAGGTACTTTGCCTTTGGTGAACCCAGAAACCAGAGTCAACTGTGACGTCTGTGCACAGGTGACCAGCAGACTGACGAAAGTGCGGATGGCTGGGAGTGGACGGGAGGCCGAGGTGTTTTTGGGCCACGCCTGCGAGGTCCTCACAGGAGAGCGGTGCGGCATGGTCAAGGTGGATCAGCTTCCCGGCGACCTCCAACTCGGCTCTCGCATGTTCCAACAGGTGCTTGGGGGTGCAATGGGACAGTCAGGAGGTTAACAGTCGATTGTTAAAGCAGAGGTGGGGAACTTACAGCATCGGCTCGATCCGGCTCATGATTTAATTTCACACGGACCACTTCATTTTGTACAGCCCACGGCCACTCGGGGCCTACCACTGTGAAACAACGGCCCGTAAACATAATTTATCCATCACCGTAAGCATCTTAGTTACACTTATCAGGTGCTAAACGAGAATATTTTCGACTGATAAAACACCTGGTCATTGTTGCGGTCACCCTTCCTAAAGATTGTAACCACTTGGGCATCCTTCCATTACTGTGGAACTCGTCTTGTGGACCAGATGGTTGTAATTGACATGCACACCACCACCACCACATACTGAAACACCTCTTCTTACACATTTACAACTTCACACAGTTAAATATACCCAATAAAGTGAAGATACACCTAACACGTGTACTTTAGCGGCCAATATTATGATTTTTAACACATTTTTGGGGTCATATATTTTAAATGATGTATAATACTGGCAACTGCCTGATGATGCTGATTGTTCCTATCAGTGAAACGACGTACTTATTTCAATGTTGTGAGATTGCTCTTCAACGTACCGGTGATTCTGCGAAAAAAGCAATAAATTGTCACGTTTGTTCACGTGGCAGCTTTATCTATTTGCTGTGTCACGTGGAGTATGGTTTTACGACACACGTTTTATTTACGTCATCTGAGCCAAAAATCTAATATCAATGGAAGAGAGACTTGGGGAAAGTGTTATTAGTGAGCATCTATTAGAGCCGGCATAGCACATGAGAGGGCGGTGTTGTTAATTTTCTGTGCAACAAAACACTTTTTTACGGATTTGACCCCACAAAGGGTGACGCGTGCCGTAGAGAAGGGGAGGGATGCTAAGTCAGTTGTTGGTTTCTCTCAAGTGGCTTCACGTGGTGCATTGAGGCATTAGGTGCGTCAATCCTGTTCACATCTTTATATATATTTTATTTGTTTGTCCCCACTGATGATGACAGGCACAGACGGAGATCTCCATGGCGAATTTTCACCTGTCCAAGGAGGTCGGCCGTTTTGTGTCGACCGTATGGTCCGAGGCCTTGGGGCATCTCTCCCAGATCCTTCAAGTGCCCATATTGCTGATCGAGCCTAAGCAGGTAAAGCGGAAACCACCATAACATTCACAGCACAGGTGTTTTCCAAATGCGATGGCACCACAACTGCAGTCGGGTGACTTTTTCCTTTTTTCCACTGGCGCATTAGAGCCACGCCATCGTGGGGCCCTTGCGGTACGGGTGGTTTTCCACTGGTTATTTTCCGTGCCGCCGAGTCACAAACCATGAAATGTGGCTAAGGCATCTGAATCTGGTTCAGGATCAAACAAAGCCAGGGTTCGCAATTTCATCGTACTCGTTCATTGTGCGTGACATAAGTAGCGCGGTTCGGGCTCGGCAGTGGGAAAAATCATCTGTGCCTCTAGAGCCATGCCAGGCTGGCTCGTTACAATCCCAGCACAGCTCGGTTGTACAGTAAAAAAAGAAGGTATTTGATAAGTTGTGGATTATTTTAAGGTTGAGTGTGGGATAAACTCGGCTGCGGTGGCAGCTGGATACCTCTAGTTGGCAGTACAGCAAGTACTTTGCCGATTGTATCTTTACAGCGTTTTTCTCCTTTAAAATACTCGGATAAACATTTTTTAAAAGGATATCTTTTTTTGTTGGAAATGATTGACCATAAATAAATCTTTCTTGCCAAATGACTGGAGTGTTTCTACACCCACATGGGCATTCTTGATAGGCCTTCACCACACTTCGTTTTCAACTCTCCTTACAAAGCTGCATAATTGTAGATAACAATTTTAAGGCCTTCAAACTAATGCTGAAAGGAGGGTTATGCATTAGGTTTGTCCGTGTGTCACGGGAGGTCACAATAACTCCCGTAAAGATGATGCAGAATTAAACATTTTTTTTAAGTGTAAAGTTGTGTTGCTATTAGGGATGGGTTCCACAGCAACAGGTTGCATACGACATCGGTGTTCACGAACGTACGGCTTCCTGAGCTGCTGGCGAGAGACGCGGTTGTAATGATTACTAATTAAATACATCCAAGAACAAAACAAATGTTGAAAAGCTGTTGCTTTATCCCATGCGTATGCATGAATTGTCTTCGTTTCCCCATGTCTTATTGTCAAAATAAAATATAGGTCACCAAAGCAGAAGCTATACTGCTGCAGCTGAAGAAGGCAGTGCTGAGCAAAGATGTACATGATGAAGGTGCATTGGAGAGACTGTCAAACGAGTTTTACAAGATCATCCCTCAGAAACACGTGGCTGTTTGTCCACTTACAGGCATGGCCAGTATCTCAGCAAAACTTGACCTTTGCCAGGTGAGTGAGCAAGCAGTGTCGCCGCATGTATTTTTATTTTTATTTGGAGAATCTGCCGTCGTGTACTAGTTATAACGCTGGACTTGCAATCGAGAAGCGTCGCCGGTTCGATCTTCCCAGCATGGCAGTTGAAACAGTGGCCAAGTTTCTTAAATCTTACTGACTCTGCGCAATCAAGGGTCTAAATGGGAATGCCACAGTCAGTCAACTGGTGGTTTGGGTGCGGTGAAGTGTCTGTACTCCCCCTTGATGACCAGCCAGCGAGAAAGAGTAGGCCAAAATACTCTGGAGGGGGGCCCTCTAGAGCTTTCTGCAGTGGAGGCCTTTTCCTGATTATCTGGTTGATTAGAAGCCTAATGTCGATGAACATTCTCACTTGCCTGATGTTTCATCCTGGCAGCTGATCCGCGACGTTGTGGATGCGAACGAGGCGACGAGGAATAAAAACACGGGCGGAGACGATAGCTCGGTGAGTGTGAGTGAGCGAGGAGTGGCGACACATTTTATCATTATTATTATTTTTGTCACCAGCCACAGATATTTGGGGGTGGTCTGGACGTGGATGTAGTGCTATAGGGTCACTTGACTAGGCGGCGGATGGGCTTAAATTTTTGTTAATTAAAAGACAAGAATATTAGCAATTCTTCGCTCATAAGTACACACACTTTTCTTCCACACCACCAGGTGCAACCTCTCAAGTGAGGTATTGCTTGCCTTCCCCCCCCTCCCCCCAGTGTGTTCCGTCTGCCAACTACTCTGGCTTCAGGCCTGCTTCCACTTTCCCCTCAGCAGGCACAATCCTACTGCTCTTGATCTTGTGTAGCAGCCTACTCTCCTCGATGTTGCTGCATTGGACCCATCCCAGGAGATTGGCGTGCGGTGTCTCTCCACGCTCATCCCCCGCTGTCGTTGATTCGTCACAGGAGGCAGATGCTGCTCCATCGCCCAACGTCACCGCACCCCATTTATGAAGGCTGCGTTGATCGTGCCTGGGCCTTGAGAGCCTTGTTTAGTGCATGGAGCTTGAATCTCCAATGTCATGCACACCTCTTCTTGCAAATCCAGTGTTTCTCACATCTGGACTCAGAAGGCTGTGTGGGTGAACACACTTTCAGTGATATTCAGTCCGCTTTGTGTTAAAAAAAAAATTCCCCCTCATTCACTCATACTCGGTCACCATTCAGATCTTCCTTTTTAACCTCTTTTTAATGAATCATCCATACGAGTTGTTCTCACATCACAATTGACACGTATTTTTTACATCAAACCGAACCACTGGTCCCTTTCACTTCTCAACAAGAATGTGTTACACTGCATCTTTAAAATGCATATCTCACAACTTGTCATAACGTGATACACATGTCGGCAGTACTCACAATAGCAACTTGGCTTTTCACACCGGCGTGCTCCTCGACTGAGCCTTGCCTAAATTTTCCGCCTTTATATCCTGATGTCTTTCTCGCTGGAATGACACGCACACCCCACACAATGCATCTTCCACTTTTCACACTCTTCTCCTCAAGTTGGAAAAGCATGGCCACTTGCCATAAACCAAACACCAACCATTAACTCCCCGTTTTTGTAATATGTACAATTGCGCTGAAGTTGCATGAGTGAAAATAATTCACTCCCCTTGTTTCCGTTGTGTTTGGTGGAAATCCCCTTCCACGACGTACAATCTCAGCTCCACAACGTCGTGTGCCAGGTGTGGCCTGTTTTGCTTCGTAATAATTATTTGGGGGTGCAGCTATCGGACGATAGGACAATGGACGTTCAATCAATAATTTTGCCGGTTTGATCTCCCAGGGTGGCAGTTGAAACAATGGCCAAGTTTCTTAAATTCCCCCCCGTCCCATCTCTGTGGGAACACCACAGTGAGTCACTCGGCAGGTCGTGTGTGGTGGAGTAAAGTCTCCACACTCTCCCTTTCTTCCAAGGTGACTGCTCAGCATGCATGGGGTAAGCCAATAAAACTCTCGAGATGCCCTCTGTAGAGCCCTGCAGTGGAATACCCGACTCTGTTGATGATCCGTTCGATCATAAGCCTAATAATTATTAACATTCCACGTGCTAACGTTTCATCCCGGCAGATGAGAAAAGAAAATTTGGCTTTGAAAAAGCTGACGGCGTCGTCACACAGCGCCACGACGCTGGCGCAGTTCACTGCCCTGCGCTGCTCCCTGCTCCACCTGGAGCCCAACTCCAGTGACTTCAACAGCATCCGCAATCAGCTGCTCCAGTCCAGCCACGGGAGGTCAGTGGCAGCACAAAAGGAACGAGGACTCACAGAGAGAGCCGTGATGAGGCTCGGGTTGACCGGATGCGGCGATATATGTTCTATGATATAAGGTCCTTGATAACTGCTTTGTTTTGCAAAATATTGTTATTTAATAATGTTTAAAAAAATCTTATTTCCTACTGCTACTGCCTTTGTGTTGGTGGTTTGCATCATGTCAGATGTTACACTGCACGATTTGGGCTTCTTCAGGATGCAAATTCAGTTCCTCAAGAACCTCTTGAATTGAGGAACTAAATTGGGTCCACTGGCCTGAGCTCCGTTGAATTATCTTCCTGATCTAGAGTAGGGTTGAGCCTCTATCATGCTTGGGTATGTGGTCAACATTCACAACAGATGTTGTGTACAGTGATGTACATTGATAACGTGCTGTGGGCAGTCAAGGACAATGCAGCACAATCCGCTGTTGTACTTTACTGCTGTGCTCCCACATCTATGCTCTTAACCTTCACCAACCCAGACTGTCCAGTGTGGTTGAATAACCCCCAGCGACCCGCACTGAGTGTGCTTGCCCTCGCCCAACAGTGGATTGACAACAGGGCTCTACGTGTACATTATCGGTTATTCTAGTAAATATTTACCAGGTAAGGCCCACTGAGCTATATAGCTCAGCGAAGTGGCTTATCACGTGGAAATCTATAGCAGCCAAAAAACTCTAAATGCACGTTTATAAATGTTGGGGGGAAAATCGGAGGATATGCAAATTCCAAATATACAGCAGGCTTCGGGGTCTGGATCGAACCCACGACCTCCTGTATACCTGGCGAGGTAGTTAACATCTTACCACCGTAGCGTGGCACTTTCTGGATGCTCTCTCTGCCGTGCCATGTCTGGACAGACTCGATGGTTTCAAGATCCTGAAGATTTTTCGTGTGGATCGCCCCGCGGAGATCGGGCAGTTCCGCTCAGAGGTCGGGAACACGCGTTCCTTGTTCCACGCCTTCGCTCCGCGCAGCCTGCTCGGCATCCTGTCCAGGTGAGGGGCGATTTGACGGGATCGTCATCACCATCATCGGCATCGTAATTTATGTCATTGGCATTTTCACTTTCGCTCATCAACAGCTTTGTCAGCATAATCGTGATTGTTTGCATAGTGACGATTGTCAAATTCTTGGTCACGTGCAGCATCGTCGTCAGAAATGTATATCGTCACATCATCTTCTGCTTCATCAGCTTAATCATTATCATTTGCATCATCATCTCCAGCATCTCCGGCAGAAATATCGTCGTTATCACCTGTTTCTTCAGCTTTTTCATAGCAGCAGCATCCTCATCATCAGCAATAGAATAATTAACTCTCTCTTCAGCATCAGCTGCATCATCATCAAGGGCATCAGTATTATCATTCAGATTAATATCTGCAGCATCATAAGCATCATCTACACCAAAATCATCTGCAGCATCGGCATCATCAGCCGAAGCAGCAACAGAATTTGTATTATGACCATCATTTGCGGCATCTCCAGGGTCATCGTCACCATAATATTTAACATCTTTATCACCTGCAGCATTATAATAATAATTACCATGGTATAGTTTTTAAAATTATCATAATTTTACTCAAAGCCATTACAACCTCTCAAAAATGAACATACTCTTTTGTTATAGTAATAGGTTTTTACCCTTTTATCTGGCACAAAAACTGACACCTTTATACAAGGGATCATGTTTGCAATAACCACAACACAAGTAGTCAAAATGCAAACAAAACAGACAACTCTGATAATATGCAATGTCCTTGAATTTGATTGGACCACACCCGAGACGGCTTTTCTTAGAGCCCAGTCTCCACTGGTGTTGCTGCGATTGCCTTTAACTTTAGCATCCATCAAAGAAGCCGATCTTGCTATGATTGATATACCAGTCATTAGAAAAGTCCACTTAGCTCCAAGTCCTCCGATGTAACATTAACTTATCTCTTCTCTAGCTCGGAGCATACCCATTTAGCTTTCTCTAGCAAATGCACACAAACAGACACAATATAAAGATTCCCCATTTAGCCTTGAACAGACTTGTGGCATGTGCTATTAGCGATCAAAGACAAAGATCCCCCGTATAGCCTTAACAGACTCTTGGGGCAAGTGCTCTTAGCCAACACTTATAAAGGCCGGCACAGTACACGAGGGTGTGGGTGGCCAGCAGCATGCCCGGCCGCCTTTGTCTCCTTAGTGGCAATGTTTGCACATCGCACCAGCTACTTATTTGAGGCTGAGTCAACCTAGAGAAGACCCAGGACCGGTTCAGGTAATCGTCACCGGTGTTGGCTGTGAGCGGGAATCACACTCGGGTTGCAAGGGTTCGTAGAGCAGCGTGCTCATCGCTGCCGCTCCCCGCTACAATACGGCTATTGGCGAGCACACACACAAACACATAGACAAAGATCCCCCGTATAGCCTTAACAGACTGTAGGGGCAAGTGCTGTTAGCAAGCACCTATGAAGGCCGGCACGGCACACGAGGGGGTGGGTGGCCAGCACCACGCCCGGCCGCCTTTGTCTCCCTAGCGGCAATATTTACACATCGCACCAAGTGTCGACCTAGGGGAGGCCCAGGACCGGTTCAGATGATCGTCACTGGTGTTCGCCGTGAGCGGGAATCGAATCCGGGTCGCCAGGTTCGTAGCGCAGTGCGCTAACCGCTACACTACCGATCCCCATACAATACGGCTGTTGGCAAGCACCCATACAAACATCCACACGAACACTCACACACTCACATAAACACTCACACAAGCACACACACACACAAACACACTCACACATAAACAACAACAACCGCCATTCGCGACTAAGTGGCGGTGACGTCACCACGACGCTTGTGCCAGGCCATGTGCACCCTGAGGCCACGTGAAGTGTCGAACGCCCGTTGGCAGGAGGTCACGGGGCAGACCCAAGTGCCATAGGTCGACTGACTAAGATAACTGGCTGATGAACCACCTGTGCCCCCTACTGTGCCAACCTGCTGTGCTTTAGCCACCCGGCGCTCCGCTCGTTGTTGTGAGCGTTGCTCCTCCGCCCTCCGTTGTTGTTGGAGGGCGACTGCCTCCAACTGCCCAGTAGCATCCTTCACGAGCCTCCTCCACAGAGGCCGATCTTGACACCGCTGTTACCAGTCATCGGCAAGTCCACTCAGCTCCACGTCCTCCTGTACCACATTACTCCATCTCTTCTCTAGCCCGTGCCGCGCCCGTTTAGCCCCCTCGATCCGGCCGAACAAAAGCTGTTTCGGCATGCGGTGGCTGGGCATGCGGGCTACATGACCCAGCCAACGCAGCCTTGCCTGCCGGAGGAGCTTACCGATGGGATCTTGCCCAGATCTTTCAAAGATTTGTGAGCTCCTCACACAATCCAGCCTGGTTCAACCCAGGATGGATCGTAGGCAGGCTAACCGGCGAAGATGTTCCATTATGGGGGTCCACTTTTCGCAAGCGTAGAGAAGGGAGGGAATGACCGTGGCCGAGAAGACCTGAAGCTTAGTGCAGAGCGACAGACTAGGTAGCTTCCACACAGCGTTACGCAACCGATGAAAAGATATTGCCGCTCGACTGATTCGGAGTGAGACCTCTGCTATTAAACTGGAGCAAACACACTCACACAAACACACAAACACACAAACACACACAAACACACCAACACAAACACACACACTCACAAACACACCCACACACTCACATAACCTGTAGTTATTAATTCACCTCCTTGTATCTCTACATTTGTTCAAGGGGCCTGCTGCTGCCCAAGACGGTGGTGGGGGAGTTTGGAGTGGAGCGCACGGACATTGGCATGCTGGGATGTGGCATTTACTTCAGTGACTCCATAAGGTGCTGCCCGTATATGGTGTTGATTAGTCATGGACCGTTCTCCCTTCCACTCTTCTTCCCTCACGATTCGGTGAATGAATCGATCTGTTTATTGCTCCTGTGGTGCGTGGAGGATGTCTAGTGACTACAGAGGTTCGCGGAATTTGTTGCATGAATGGCTGCAGCCTTTTGTAATTTTGGTGACCTCCCTCACTAATCATGCTTTCTTGTGTGCAAGTACGTTGGACTTCTTTCACACCTTACGTAGCCAACCGTGCTATTCAGAGGTGCGGGGGGGGGGTACATAGCCAACCGTTCTTGAGTTCTCCCCAGGTTAAACAAGCGTAACTCTTGATTGCGGAATTATTGAATAAATGAGCACATAAAAAATTGCATATTGTCTGCGTGGACAAAATTCCACACGAGACTGCATGTTTTTTTTGCACAGGAGTTCAAGCCACTGATGACACCTTGTGACGTGACGCCGAAAGCACAATCGGAACAAATTTGCCACAAAGACAAGCGGTAGTGAAGCGATCGATCTGTTCCGAATGGAATAATCGTTCCAGTGGTCGCTACGTGTGTGGTGTTGGTCGTGACGACGACGACGGCGGCGGCGGCGGCGGCGGCGGCGCTGCCCTCTGAATGAATTAACGCGAAGGGGTAACGATGGCGGCGTCTTCCCCGCGTGCCCGTGTCTCCCCGCTCGCAGCACGAGCGTGAAGTACGCTCGGCGCGCCGCAGCTCGAGACGGTGGCCGCGTGCTCGCCGTGTGCGACGTGGCGCTGGGCCGCTGCCACTTGGTGCGCCGCCGCGACCGCTCGCTCGCCGCGCCTCCGCAGGGCCACGACAGCCTGCACGGCGCGCGCGCCACCCCGGGCACCGCCTCCGAGTTTGAGGTGAGGGATGGACGCGGCGTGGCGAGAGGGCAACGCTGCCTCGCGGCTGTTTGCGGTCGTGCCGCGTAGCGCCCCCCGGTGTGTGCTTTCGGGGTTGTCGCGCGCGTCGAAAGTCGCGGCGTCCCGACGTCTCGCTCGTGCTGGGAGCTTCTTCGGGAGCTGCCAGCGAGTGCAGCGGACAGTCGGACATTGGTGTGGAACAGCACGTGCATGGTAGATCCCAAAAACACCCAAAAACACGAGAGAGGTGGCAGAGTACCCTGTTTATGCTGGTGCATTCAGCCGTGTGGGTAAGCGCCCTTGAACCAGATAAACATCTAAAATTGAAAACCAAAAACTAGACCTCCACGCTGCAGATTCCAATCCCTTGTTTGCCACAATTGCTTGACTCAATACCCACGTGAACTCAAACGTGTCATCAAGTAATACAATTACGTTATCAAAATCGATGACGATTCCTACGTCTGTAAACCCATTGTACATGAACAACTATTACAAACAAGTGGTGCGATGTCATCAATATGTATCCAGAAGAGAGCACATTGATGACATCACACCACCGATTTAAGGCCCAAGACTGGAGGGACATTTTCATATTTCTGGAAACTGTCTTATAATGCTGGCTGTGTAACTACCATGGAAAGTCGTGCCAGATGATTAAATGTTATGAATTGGTCTCCAACACACCGTTGTTGCTGAAGCAGTAATAAACTGCAACGTTTGTTTTCATGACAACTTTATTAATTGAATGTTCCGTGTGGAGGAGGGTGTACAACACACAAATTTGCGCGATCTGACCAAAACCAAAAATCAATTGGGAATCATGAAATTGGTTGCGAAGGCTTTTGGGTTCAATTGGACTATTACGCTTTCATATCCTAAATTATAAATGTTTCATGTCTGTGTTTTTATTTTATCTGTGGGCCACCCTCCCCCCAACACGACCTGGGATAATCGAGAGTTGGCTGTATTTCGAACGGGCACAAGTGAATGTTTGAATGCGTGAGCCGCAGCGAACTTCGTGCTGTCATCGTGGTCTCAGGGCATTGGCGGCTAAAGTGGCGACAACCGTTTCTCCCGCTGCGTGTCTGCGTGCGCAGGACGACGAGTTTGTGATTTACGATCCCCGGCAGCAGAAGCTCCGCTACATCGTTCAGTTTTGCCTGGAATCTGACGTGGTGAAAGAGGAGGAGAACTCGGACGCTGAAGAGTTTTATGAAGCCCCAGAAACCCCTGCCGATGAGAGTGAGCACTATGTGTTTACTACGCGGTGGCTTGAGATACGGTCGTATTTAAAAGCTCTATAAATCTAAATTGTGTTGTGTTGGTGTCAGGTGTGTGGTTAGCGGTGTCTGTGTGGTGAGTGGTATCAGGTGAGTTATGAGTTGTGTCAGGTGAGTGGTGTCAGCGTCTTGAGTTTTTATCACATTTAGACACATTTATATCAATGTAGATATAAACCCGCATTATACCATGATTGGGTTTAATGTAGAATTTCCATCAACGGCTCGGGGCCATCAACTTATGTGAGTGCCGCCCCATGGTCAAGTGCACAGGGAAGACATTTAATTCTTACTGGGTTTTTTTTTTTGCATTTTGCTCATCCCAATGTCAGGAATTCTTCCTGAGCCCAACATCCCGGAGTTGCTGCCTGAGCAAGGAGAACCGAAGCAGAGGCTGAGCGGGTTACACTCGGGCGTGGGGTCGCCCGTGCCTCTCAAGGCCGTGCACGTGCGGGCAAACATCCTCGATTTTACCGCCCAGGTGAGACGGGGAGGAGGGGGTTCAGAGCGGCCAAAGAGATTAGAAAACGCATTCAAATCAAAGGTCTCCGATGTATTTATTTGGGCAGTACCCCGTGGGGTTGTTGTTTGGCGTCACGTCCCGACATTTCCCTGCGCCTGCTGGGAGCATCTTCAGGAGCTGAATTCACCAGCGTAGACTTCCTTAAGAAGCTCTCACCACGTGGAGCGAAGCGTCGGATGTCGTGTACTGGACATCTGTGAAAAAAAATGCTTTACAGCTCATCGGATTCCTCTGAAAAAGTTCATGTTCTGATTCTGTGCCAAATAATGCACAGAGTACAGCCCGAAAATACACGGGAGCGCTGTACAGCACAACTAGCAGTAGGTTCAAGGAAAAGAAAAAGTAAACACGGACCCCTCTTATCGTTTCTTGACCATCCACGTTTGTGTTTGTTGATCACCTGCACACAGACTTGACGCTTTCCTCTTCTCAAGGGGCTCAGCAAATCCGGGATTGTCTCCTCGCTCACACTGCTCGTTGCTGTTGCCGCAAATTCCCTCATCACCGGTCGCTTGCCTCTGGCTGTAGCGTAGCGATGCCCACGGGACGCTGCTCTAGTGGGCCACTCTCTGAATTCCCACAAAGTTGTCTTCATTTGAGCGACCGCACCCCCCCCCCCCCCCCCCCCCAGGTGGTGGTGATGCAGGAGTACGACAACAACAGCACGGAGCCCATCGAGGCCAAGTACACCTTCCCACTTGACGAGATGGCGGCTGTGTGCAGCTTCGAGGCCTTTATCAACGGCAAGCACATCGTGGGGCAGGTGCGGCGCTGCCCTGTGGGCCTCTGGCGCCCTCGCGGGCGGCTTCGGTGCACAGCGTCACCTTCCGGGACGGTGACGCCTGCTCACCGCGCTGTTGCCTTCCTGCTTGTCGGTGGTTCCTCACTGCGCCTCTGAGTCACTCTCTCTTCGAGAGTGAGTGAATACCGTGCACGTTACAAGCTTAAATTATTATGATGACTGCACTCGCTCTATATGCCTTTTCTTTCAGGTGAAGGAAAAAGAGACCGCCCACCAGCAGTACCGCAATGCAGTGAGCCAGGGCCATGGGGCCTATCTCATGGACCAGGAGTCCCCGGTGAATATAACACGCACCACACTCCATGGTCACGGAAAACACGCGGCACACGTCGGTGCCTCGACATCACACCGAGTTGCCGAACCGCTGCTTGCTCAGGTCAGATAAATGTGTCGTGAGTCCAACTGAGTTGCAGACGTTGTCTTTGGGAGCAACACTCTTTATTACATCAACTCAACGCAACATAATGTAACCTACACTCGGGTGTTGAACGCCCATCTAGCCACTCTACGGCAGAACTAGACACGGTCCCGCTATCCCGGCCCGGACCACGAGCTGGGTCCCGGACCGCGTGGCTAGAGGCTTCTTCAACCCGACGTGGATCTTCACTCACCAACAGTCAAGAACCCCGAGCCCCACACGGGGCCCCCGTTATATCGGCCCGGGCTGGGGCTGGCTCTGCCTCTCGCCTCGCCCACCTTCTAGATCTCTCGAGCTCTTTCTTGAAGGCTCCCGAGAGCTCCTCTATGCCACGTGACCACCCAGCGGCCCCTGTCCACCAGTGGCCCCCCCTCCAATATCATCCGGTCACGTGTCGGCAGGTCAACTGGCGTATCGTGCCCCAGCGTAACCCTGGCTGGCTGACACTCCCTCTCGCTCCCTCACCGGGAGCCCGCACCGCACACCGTACGTGGTGCCTCTGCGCTAACCAGCGCTCACCCAAGCCCCGCTCGGGCTGGTACTATGCCCAGTAACCGGGCTGCACATAATGACAACACATTAGCCGCCGTGGCCTCGCAAGCCCGGCACCACACAGTGACATTCACAGTCACTACTAATGTGTTTGTTATGACCAGATCACCCAGAAAATGCGACCGATCTCGTCAGAAGTGAAGCTAGGGTTGCACCTGCTTGGATAGTGCTTGGATGGGTGGCCACCATGCAATGCAACAGGTGCCTGAAGCTTCTGCGAGGCTACGTTGTCAGCAGACGAGGGCCTAGTGCAGCAAAATCGTGGTGCCACGGTGACGAGATGTTAACTACCTCGCTTGGTATACAGGAGGTCCTGGGTTAAATGCTGACCCTGATGCCTGTATATATGGAGTTTGCATGTTCTCCCCGTGGTCGTGTGGATTTTTCTCCGGGTCCTCCGGTTTTTCCTTCCACATTTAGAATCGACATGCGTTTATAGTATTTGGTTGCTATACCTTTCCACACGATAAGCCACTTCGTTGAGCTTTCATTTGTGGCCAGGTCGCTGATGAAAAAGAGCTTTACAGCTCAGTGGGCCTTGCCTGGTAAAATACAAAAAAAATTGTTTAGTTATAGTTTAAAGCCATTGTTGATTTTAGAGCTTATTGGCTCACAGGGAAATTTTAAATACACTTAACTGAGCTGTATTGTACCATGCTCCATTATCTATACTCCTTGGCTTCACCCACCCACACTGCCCATCATTACACAACCCCTACGACCCGCATGTTGCGACGATTGACAAAAGGGCCGTATGTGTACATCGATACAATTGCAGACAATATCAGGGTTGTTTATACTCTGTCACTGAGAGGGAAAGAGGATCTCGACGTTGTGGCCGACCGGCCCTGGTCAGGGGGTCAGGTCGTCCCTGTGAATCTCAAAAAAACAGTCGAGGAGGAAGCGAATATCGGAGGCCCGGCCGTGCTCGGAGAGAGACGAGGAAAGAGAGCGGAGGGACTGACGGTTGACCCGATGTCCTCCCCGCCCACCTCCGCCGTGGCAGGACGTGTTTGTGGTCAGCGTGGGGAACCTGCCGCCGGCGTGCCGCGTGCTCATCAAGGTCACCTACGTGTGCGAGCTCGCCGCCGAAGGGGCCGCCGTCCGCTTCCGGCTGCCGGGGAACCTGGCGCCGTGGCAACAGCGGCTCGCCACCGGCGACGTCACTCAGGTGCAGCAGCAGTAGCAACGACAACTACAAACAGCCACCATTTGTCACCTAGGTGGCGGTGACGTCACCGCGGAGCTTGTGCCAGGCTAGGTACACTTGTGCCAGGCAAGTGCAGCTCACGCGCGCACACGCACTGTGGAGGCAGCGAGAGCGGATCGCATAAATGTTGCGAAACTCCCCGTAGGTGTTGATTAGTTGCTTGGCTCGCCACAAGTCAATACAGTAAAAAAATATGGGCTCCTCCTGTCAGGATGGGATAGAGTGTTTCCCCCTCGCACACGTGGGTTTTCTCCGGGTGCTCTGGTTTTCTCCCACATGTAAACACTCATTAATTGGCTGATAATGCCGCCTCATCGAATGTCTTGCCTTCCCGCTCGTCTGTGGTTCATCCTCGCACCTCGTGAGTCGTTGTTTCTCTTGGTGAGCGAGTGAATACTGTGCAGTGGCACGTTATAAGTTTAAATTATTATTTTATAATACAACGATATTTAGAAAAACGGATACAATTATCGCGACTAGTATATCATACTATGCATCATGGTATCGCCATATCACGCCAACCCTACTGACTTTAAATTCTTATGTTTAGCTGTCGCAATAACAGCAGAAGTATTCCCAGTGCCGGATTATCCTAGTAGCAAAAGTATCTACATGCGTTCAAGCTATCAATTCCGGTTCAGTGATTCTGCACTTGCTCTGTTATTATAGTACTATACTGCCGTCAACTTTTATACGCGACTGGGTGTTTAAGGTTAGCGATTTGCCGTATTATCTGGCTGTATAGCAAATGAAAAAATACAATTACTTCTATGCCAGTTAAAAATGTTTTTTAATAGTTATTCTTTATTTTTTTTATTTAGAGCATATGCTACAGGCCCCGCACTAGCTTAATCCAGCACTGAGTATTCCCTGGACGTGAAATGTCATGTAAGTTACGAGTGCGGCGCGTTTCCTCCTCCAGGAAACGGTGGAGACGCTGGCGGTGGCAAAGCACTCTGGGTACGAACGGCCTCCATCCGCGAGATACAACGGCCAACATTACCACTTGCACAGCAGCGTCAACACCATGCACTTGTTGTACACACAGGTAGTCCTCGACTTACGAACAATAGACTTACGAACAACGGACTTGCGAACATCCACGCTTCGGGTCTGTTCGATTTACAGATGGGTCCCAGGGACATAACCCGTTGGTAAGTCGAGGACTGCCTGTACTTAAAAACACACGAACCTCTTACTATCCTTTACGTAGGCCCACTCACATTGCTTATGCATAAATGGAACCGTTAGTAGGTGGAACTTGAAATCATGTTGGTCAATGAGAACCTTAATTGACAAATGATTCCTTTGTGAATTCTAACCAACTTGTTGCACAAATAACAAACATAAGAACTGGACCGGATTCATTATCGAACTAAAGTAACACAATGCAATGTTTGTTACATTTGAAAACAGATGTTTAATGGTGCCATCTTTTTGCATTCTTAAAACTTCAGCACAATCATCAGCTGCCATGGTTCATCCACTGTTGAATGAAATCCCACTCCATCGCCATTCCTCATGGTGCTGTGATGAAACTATTCATCTCACTCCTACGTAAAAACTCATCGCTTTCATTCCTTCACCAGTCTTATCCATCAGTCATAATTGCTTCCAGCGATGAGTGAAGTCCCGTTGTGCTATTAACTCCCTCGCCTGGTATGCAGGAGGTCATGGGTTCGATCCAGACCCTTGACGCATGTATATTTGGAGATTGCATGTTCTCCACGTCGTTGCGTGGATTTTTCTCCAGGTCCTCCGGGTTTTCCCTCCACATTTAGAAACATTCGTTTAGAGTATTTGTTTGCTATAAATCTCTACATGATAAGCCACTTCGTTAAGCTATCATTTGTGATAGCCAGTTCGTTTCTGAGAAAGAGCTATATAGCTCAGTGGGCCTTCCTTGGCAAGATAAAAATAGTTTAGTTTTTTTTGTTTTAGCAACCCGGGTTTCATTCCGCGCCATGGCTAACATCAATGGTGATTGGTTCGGAATCGGTCCTAGACTCCCCTTTCATGATCCACACTGACGAGCGTGGTGAGTATGGTCAATCAACATAAACACGATGAAGAAGGACCATCGCTCTAAACATCGCTTCTTGCATATTGTTATTATAAGGCGACACCCATAGTGTTAATGACGATTGTGATTGAGTTTATTATTTTTTAAATCTATAAATGGGTTTCCCTGTATACACCGTCCACGGGGACTTGGCTGCTGAATTTTAACGGCGCTGTGCGATCTGCGCTGGCTGCTACAGACGCTTGTCGGTGCAGGTGTCTGTGGAAATGCCGTACGAAATCATCAACGTTACCTCTCCCACGCACGCCATCCGCGTCAAGGTGAGCGCCACCCACAAAACCACCCACAAAACCACTGTGGACCACATTAACTTTAGAGCGTCCGATGAATGTATGTTTAATTTGTTGTCCTTCCCCGCACCTCTTGACTATTCACGGGTGGTTATGTATGGTGTTAAAGAAGTTCATCATATACGTATAAAGTTCAACATACATATAGATTGATGTATGAAGTTCAACGAACATGTATGTTGAACTTTCGCACCGTACGTAACCAACCTTCGACTAGTCCTCGGAGAATGACCACGTGAAATCCCCCGACTTAACACGGACACGACATTAACGCTCGCCATGTTGGCCTGTGGCTCAGCGTACGGCATGCAAGGCCGTGGTGGAGCTGGCGTCCAGCGACGACTCGCTGGGGTCGGAGTTCCAGCTGCTCGTGTTCCCGGCCCAGATCCACGAGCCGCGCATGTGGGTGGAGCAAAACCCCGAGACGGACAGCCAGGTGAGCGGCGATGCCCGAGAGCTCGTAGATCTTCTCCCCTGCCCAGGAAAGACCGTCCATCAAGTCTGTTGCGTTTCAGCCGTTCGTGGACAATGGGAAAGTGTTAATCTTGTGGGCGCTTTCCATCCGAAGCTGAAAGCGTTTATGCATTAGAATTAAAATCAAAAGTTTATTTGCCAACTGAAGCCCATTTGAGCTATGTAGATCTCTTTCGAGCGGGCTCGGCCGATAGCTCTGTGTGTTTGGAATGAGGGGGGCTCGATAGCGCTTGTTAACATGGTCCAACATATACCAAACTGCGTTAGAGAGTTGTGTTACCGTTCGGTATTTACTTTGTTGAAAATCGCCCAAATTGATTAAAAGTGTTCCCAGTTTAGAAACGCGCGTTGAAAGGCGTTGCACACCAGTCGCTTGTCACCCCAACAAGGCCTGCATCCTGACCTTCTACCCGGAGTTTGCACCGAGCCACTCGGAAGGTGTGGACATCGTCCTGTGTCTCGACTGCTCGGCTTCGATGACAACGCAGCCATTAACCGACGTGAAGAGACTGGCCCTCTTCGCTCTCCGGCACCTCCCGCCCGGAAGCAGATTCAACGTGCTCAAGTTTGGCACGCGTAAGCGATCGATCACGTGCGCGGCGCCCGGCGAGGTTAAAAGGGCAGCTCCTTCCTTGTGTGTATGTTGAACTTCTTTCCCAACCTACGAAGCCAACCATGCTAATCGGAGGTGCGGGGGAAGGACAACAAACTAAACACAAAAAGCATTTCTGAAGAAATTCGTTTTCAATCTAGATTTGCACGGCTTTAGTGGCTTCCTAATATAAGGAAGAGGATTCCAGATGACCGCAGAAGCGCATCTGAAAGCGCGTGATGCAGTGACGATGGTCAGCCAAAAGCCGCCACTGCGAGGATGACCGGAGTTTGCGTGATTAAACGTACGAGGTTAACGCCAAATAAAGTGGCCGGATTTACCGTGTCCCGCATATAATGGAAGTTTTTGGAGGACCAATACAAATGTCAATCTTAAATATAATCGCAGTCCTCCGAGTTTAAATAAACAGAACAGCTTGCAAAGCAACGCTGACATCTTGTTAGCAGTGTCTCTACATGGTGCAGAAATGTCATGCCAGGCAGTCCCGATTGTTAGTACTCTATTTATAAATTCCAACAGTTGATTGTTCCATTTGCCTGTACTCTGCACACCAGCCAAACTTTAGAAATCACTGCCTCTGCATATCAACACATCCACGAGTTTGCTACCTTCAGGACAAATATTAAGACTTAATTAGGTCACACTGGCTATTCCCAGAATGATTCCTATTTCGTTGTATGATTCTCTTTGCTTTTTACTGAATGATTCTGCCCACGCTGAATGTTTCTACTTCCGTCAGAATTGTAATTTGTTATCATTACATAGTACGCATCGAGATTCGGTATGAATGTGGATTTTGGTATAACAATTCTAATTCAACACCAAGAATGGTCTCAAGATTGACGTTGGAAAGGTAGAGTATTGATAACAATGTCTGTAGTAGTATTGAACATGTGGTCATTATATTGGCTTGTTTAAATAGGTGCATCACAGTTTGTCGATAAGCAGGTCACGTGTGGTAAAGCAGGACAATGTTATACCTGGACAGCGATTTAACTGTGCACTGTTTCTTTACAGACTACAAGGAGCTCTTCCCTGTTTTCCGTGAATCCAGCCCATCCAATATCGCAACAGCAGTTAGCTTTATAAAGGTGAGTTTTAATGCTGTGAAATAAACTAAGTAACAAATATATATGAATATAACCTTTAAAAAATATTTGTAGCATATTTATAGTTAATTAATTAATTAATACATTTATAACACGCACAATGTGAACTTAAGCAGGACATTCAGAGGCAAGGGAGGATAATAAGTAAGGAAAGAGAAGTCTTCAGATTGCGGCAGAAGGAGGGCACAGATATGAGCAGTGAAGGAGGGATTGAATTCCAGATGATGGGGGCCGAGAGAGAGGAGCAATATTCACTTTGTCTGTTTCGAGGGTCAGCCTTGACAAGGAGGCATCTTGAACCCGATTGGAGGCTGCAAGGTGAACTGTAGGACGAGACGGCGGAAGCGAGTAAGGCAGGTTGACCCAACGCGTGCTGGAACTTCTCCACAATATCCACTTGTACAGTACAGTCGTGGTGTTGTTGGTAAAGCACCTGACTCAAAATCAGAATCTGAAGATTAAAAATCCTTGTTGGGTGTGGGGCATCCACACAGGCCATCATTCCTCCAAAGCCTAGAAAATAATCACCACCTTACAGGAAGTGGTTGTTGGCCGTTCTATGTAAAGACGAACCCCCCAACATGACAGCGTCAAAGTTCAACTCTGCTCAGGTCCACCAATGTAGACGATCGGCATCCCGTTGCTCGTTTGAACTCGGAGACCTCCACGGCTCTACGCACACCAACCCCTCGCCCTTTCTTCCTCCCCGACCCCCCCCCCCCCACCGCCCCCTCCGGCAGCGCTTGCACGCCGACGCGGGCAACACGGAGCTGTGGCGCCCTCTGCGCAGCGTGGCGCTGCTGGCCGGGGGCGTGGGCGGGAGCCGGGACGCGGCGGCTCCGCCGGTGTCCGTGCTGCTGCTCACGGACGGCGTGGCCCAGTCGGAGGCGCGCGCCACGCGGGAGGCACGGGAGAACGTGCGGCTCTTGCGGGTCCTCGCCTGCGGGGTCGGGTGAGCACCCCCTTTCTGCAGGAGTGACGTCGCGTCAGCCAACGCTGCGAGCGTGTGATGGGGCGACGCGGCGCCAAGTGGACGGAACGACACTTTAGAAGCCACGTCATCGGGAAAAGAGAAGGAATCTGGCACTATTTGGACACGCATGTAGGATGGACAACAGGAAAATTAAAAGTATGTTGGGAAAAATGAGAGGAAGACCTAGAAGAAACTGGCTTGATGACGACATAAGGGATTGGTGCCAGAAAGATGTGACACTACTTAAGCATATTAGCACAAGACAGAGGAAATTGGAAACAAATTAGCAAATTTGCAGTGGACCGCCTGTGGGCGATCTGCCCATGGATCGTGATGATGATAAATTGGAAATGGCCAGGTGGCACATGGGTCAAAGCGGCTGAGCCACCATGGCTAAGGTCCTAGTTTTAAATCTGGGATTCACCCCCCCTGTGATTAAAGCGGTGACGTGGCCGAGCAGTCTAGCGTTTGCCCAGTGGCCATCTTGGGTTAATACGCATGCCGTCTGCTTCACAGTGGATGTCAGAGATACCATGATGTTATTTTAATCCTGAGCCGTACTTAAAGCTATTCCGGAAATTATATTGGCACCACCTCCATCTCACCTTTTTTTGTTCTCAAGATCAATCACATTTATTAGAAACTTGTCCATAGGATTATAGGAATCTACCGTACAATAATATACGATTTGCATTGATAGGTCCACCTTGTACTCTAGTGCCTTACACCAATCATCCCTAGTCCCAAGCCATCCCGGCCTGGCAGTGTCCCCAAAACTATCACGTGAGAAATTAAGCCCTGGTTTGTAACAGATCATGACTAGTGTGTGCTGTGTGTTTCTGTTCGATCAGTGAAACGCCAAACAGATATTTCCTGAATGCTTTGGCACGAAACAGCGGAGGTGCTTGTGAATTCTTCACCGCTAAAAACAGATCAACGTGGACAGACAAGGTGAAAATCCCTCGTAACATGCAACATCACACCTAACCATTTTAGGGAAGTTCACCAATGCAATTAAAATTATCTTGGTATTATGTTTGCGTGGTAGTAACGCTGTCCCCAGCATAAAATGGTGCAAGTTTTTATTTTATTTTAAATCCCCCTGCCCATCTGCCCAGCAGGATAAATGGGAACCACCACCAGCACTTGTAGTGTGGATACTCTCCCACTACTTTAAAGACGTTTTTCACTTATTATTTATTTTACTAGGTTGGGCCCACTGTGCAATGTAGCTCTTTCTCAGAAGCAACCTGGCTATCATGAATGATAACTGAATAAAGTGGCATATCATCTTGTGGAAATTTATAGCAGCCATTTACTCTAAATGTGTGACGTTGATTCCAAATGTGGGGGTAGGGGGTGAGTGGGGAGCTGCCACCAGTGCCAATTTCCATGAGTCTCGTTTGTGAGTCTCGTTTGTGAGTCCCGTTTGTGAGTCTCGTTTGTGAGTCTCGTTTGTGAGTCCCGTTTGTGAGTCTCGTTTGTGAGTCTCGTTTGTGAATCCCGTTTGTGAGTCCCGTTTGTGAGTCTTGTTTGTGAGTCTCGTTTGTGAGTCTCGTTTGTGAATCTCGTTTGTGAGTCCCGTTTGTGAGTCCTGTTTGTGAATCTCGTTTGTGAGTCTCGTTTGTGAGTCTCGTTTGTGAGTCTCGTTTGTGAGTCTCGTTTGTGAGTCTCGTTTGTGAATCTCGTTTGTGAGTCCCGTTTGTGAATCTCGTTTGTGAGTCTCGTTTGTGAGTCCCGTTTGTGAGTCTCGTTTGTGAGTCTCGTTTGTGAATCCCGTTTGTGAGTCTCGTTTGTGAATCTCGTTTGTGAATCTCGTTTGTGAGTCCCGTTTGTGAATCCCGTTTGTGAGTCTCGTTTGTGAGTCTCGTTTGTGAGTCTCGTTTGTGAATCCCGTTTGTGAGTCTCGTTTGTGAATCTCGTTTGTGAATCTCGTTTGTGAGTCCCGTTTGTGAATCCCGTTTGTGAGTCTCGTTTGTGAATCTCGTTTGTGAATCTCGTTTGTGAGTCCCGTTTGTGAGTCTCGTTTGTGAATCTCGTTTGTGAGTCCCGTTTGTGAGTCTCGTTTGTGAGTCCCGTTTGAGAGTCACAATTGGGAGTCCCGTTCGCGAGTCCCATTCGCGAGTCCCGTTCGCGAGTCACGATTGCGAGTCCCGCTTGAATCCGTGTGCCCCTAGATGCTGGCGCTGATGGAGAAGGCGACGCAGCCGGTGTGCCGCGACGTCACCGTCGAGTGGCAGCGCTTCGACCGCGGCGCCCTCGGCGGCGATCGCGTGGAGATGCAGGCTCCCAGGATGATCCGCTCCGTGTTTTGCGGCACGCGGCTCGTCGTGTACGGAATCGTGCCGCACTGCACGCAGGTGATGGCGCCTTGCACACACCGCCGCGCGGTCCAGCGGCACCGTCGCCAAAAGCCTAGCCACCTGTTGGCGACGAACATGGGTCCTGGCTCATCATGGCAAGGGGTCGGTGGTTCATGTTGAGATGAGATAGTCTGGGTGAGTTTGCTTGGTTAAAGCTGACATGGGTGATGAGTGAAGTCTGAACCGATCCTGGACCCCCACCCCCTTCGCCCTAACGTGCATGGAGCAACGTGGTGAAGCCTTGTCGAGTCATTGTGGAGGGCCTTAATCTACCAGTGCATTGACAAAGTTCTGTAAACTGTGATTTTAATTGTAAATTATGATGTTCACACAGAGATCGGTGTCGTTTTGCAGGCAACGCTCCATGCCATTATCAACAACCAAGAGTTCTCTACGATGGTGTCGACCAGCAATTTGCAGATCACGCGTGGAAAGGCATGTTCTTTCGTGGTGCCCACACTTGCATACACGCAAGCACACTTCTACGATGTATGTTGCTTATTGTGAGGTACTTGGGTAAGATGTCCTTGAAATCGGGTGAATGGATGGATGGATGTGCCCTGTTCTGCACGTAATGCGGCCTTTTGGGGGAAGACCATTAAAAATGTGTAATGTAATGTGAATTGATAAGCGCTCAAAAATAACATTACAAGCTGTAACTGGGGATACATTTGGTCTTGATGAAAATAACAGCAATTTGTGAAGAAAACGAATATGGCCATTCCACCATTTAATTAGCCCGGTATTTCAAGGACAAGACAAAGATCCTCCGTATGTGCTATCAGCGAACACCAGTGAAGACTGGCACGGCATACAAGGTGGAGAGTGGCCAGCACCACACCCGACCGCGTTTGTCTCCCCAGTGGCGATATTTAAACAGCGCACCAGGTTCTCGTATGAGTCAACTTAGGGGAGGCCCAGGAGCAGGTCAGATAATCGTCACTGGCGTTAGTCGCGAGTGAGAATCGAATTCGCGTCACCGGTTTCGTAGCGCTATACTGCAGGGACACACATTAGCACACACACGTGCACATCATACAACAAAGTGCATTGTTCCTGTGCTCACACTTGCCGAACGATCTCGTGACAGATGCTGCACAGGCTGACGGCTCACGCCATCATCCAAGACTACGAGGACGGGAACCTGCATCCGGACGAGACGCAGCACGAGGTTTTTTTTTTTTTTTATCCGAGGCTCGCGCCTTCGGCTATGAGCGGTGTCCAAAAGCGTAACCTGCCACCGGCGTTGCCGCCCGGCTGGAGGAGTAGCTGCGGTGTCGTTACCGGGTGTTGACGTGGGGTGCCGCGTCGGACGCTCTGAGCCTAGTGTTTGCCACGATGAGCGGTTGCATGAATCGGTGGTGCTCGAAGCAAAGATAAATGTATTTGAATTTCACGTAGGAAAAGGGTGCAGCCTGGCAGTCAACTAATTGCGGTGCACCCAGTCATGGTGCTGAGTGGACAGAGGCAGGGGGATTTATGAAAACTGCACCATCGTGTCACCTGCCGTGCTGGATTGTACATGCAGTGTGTTATCCATTACACCATGGCAGAATCCCTGGGTCTGTAATTTAGATACATTCCAGTTCTCAGAATAAAAAAATATCGGTTTTGCTCTCATGTAATGGACATTTCTCTCTGTAGTAGGGAAGGTTGGTGGTCGTTGTAGTGTTACGAAGACAAATTATTTTCTCTTTATCCTCCTGCAGGCTGATGAGACAAGCGCTCTTCGTGAGTTCGTCCACTGGCTCAATAAATCTACGTCCTTATCCAAACATCAGTCGGCAATCTCCAAAACCATAGACCACATCGTAACGCCACTGCCCATTGCGATATTTCGCCGGGAGGGTTTCAGATATTCACCATGAGGCGTGACTGAAGAAGCTACCGAGCGCGCGTAGCGAAAAGTCTGCCAAACTATACGCAGACGTGAAGATATATATTTTTTCTTCTCCACAGGTCATAATAGCAGAAATGAAGAGTCGAATCATCGAGTTGAGCAAGGAGTATTCGATTATAACGCCGTACACCAGCTTCGTGGCGGTGGAGGAAAGAGACTCTGTAAGTCTACAGTCCACGGTTTGGGCGTGTGGCTATGTTTGAAGGCGGCATATATACAGGCGTCCATCGCACAGCACGCGATTTGTGTTCCTGAAAAACAGCATGCAAGTCGAATCGCACCGTATGTGTATAATATCATTATTTTATCCCTATTGGCAGACTTTCCCCCTGCAACAGTGCCTTTGTGATGGCCTTGTGCTTATAAGAATGACGCAAGTACCAAATGTACAAAGTTGTTATGCCACTGACACTTCATGATTGAGCTCTTTATACGTACAAGCAGAGAAAATTAACCAAAAGGTTAATACAATTATCAGCTTTTGAGCATCTAGTGGCACTGTCCATAGGTTTCACCATGGTGGTTGGATGGCATGCTGTGCCACCTTTGGACGTCCCAGAGATTATTTCAAGACACGGGGTGGCTGAGAATGTGGATGCTTGTGGCAAAACTGTAGAGTTCACACACGGCAGTCTGTGCTTTACGAGGTAAGAGGCACAGCCCAGCAACTTCTTGCTCACGCCACTGCTGGTGGAAGGGCCTTGGCTAGAGGGAGCTCCATAGAGCTCCGGTAAATATTATTTTGACCTACTACCCATCGACTAACTGTGGCGCACCCATTTACACTGCTGGGTGGACAGAGGCAGGGGGATTTAAAAAAAGTTCCCCATTCCTCCAAAGGCCGCGCCGAGAGATTGAATGAAAACAGCGGTCTCTGGATTCAATTCTTGTGCATTGCGGTAATTATGATGCACCCGGGATGCTCTTGAGATGATGTCTGTTGAGACAGTGTAGCAATGAAATCTGCTTGTATGCAGATGCTAGGTGAATCATTACATTGCGATAGATGGTGTTGACTTGGAAAGGCCTTCACCCAGCAGTGGAAAGACTGGCTGATAATTTTGATGATATGAGGGCGTGCGCGCGTGTGTGTGCAAGTGGTCCACCTGAGCGTGAGGCTGTGGTCTCTCTGTGACCCACAGACACTGGCCGATGAAGCGACAGGCCCTGCACTGGACGAGCTGCTCTCCAAGGAGTCTGTGGACTTCCTGCCCTACGTGGGCTGGGTGGAGGAGGAGAAGGCGAGGAAGAAGAAGGGTTCAATGCAGTTCCACCTGCGGGCAGAAAAAACAAAAGCACCGGTCGGTGGAAGAGGAGGCTTGGCCTCCTCGAAAATAAAATATAGGAAAACACGTCCAGCATGTTTTAGTTTGATACCTGAAAAAACTGAACAAACTCCCGAAATTGAATTCGGCAGTGCAGCTGAACGTGCAAATTTGTCTCCGTTTGAAATAGAGGCTGCAGCAGACACGGCCTCTCAGTATCCTTCTGAAATCCAGCCAAAATTTGCTCATGCAAGTGTAGAAGCGGTACCGTGTTCCAATGAAGGTCCATTAAATCTCTCCAGACGAGATGTTAAGGACCATGGTGTGTCAGCTTCACGCATAACCACGATGTCTGCTAGCAGTAGATTTGGTGAACGCCATCTTTTACACCGAGCCGCACCAGTGATCTTAAAAGAAGCATTTGAATGTCGGCGATCTCAACAAGGATTCGGCAGCTCAGCTTACGCACCTCGATCTGTCGTTCACCAACTGAATTCCGCTGAAACACCAGTGCCTCTTATCAGAGCTCAAGCATTCGCCCCATTAACCATCTTCGATAACGTGCAGCCTCCAGGTGTTTCTCTGGGCGTCATTGCGATGGAAACGCCGAGCAGGTTCACTCCACCTTATCAAGACACCTTTGAGCGGGGACAGGCAAGGAGACAATCGGACCGTTTCACTAATAGTGCCTATCCCTTTAAACCTCAAAAATGCTTGGCTCGCGTTAAAAAACCTCCACCTCCACTATTATGTTTTACGGCCCGTAGCCCATCAAGTGCGGCACTAATGCCCGACGTCCACGAGCTTAGAGCTGCTGGTTTAATGAGCAGAGTGCCTGAATGTGCAAAACGAGACGTGTGCGCATTGCAACTACCTAACAGGGATTCACCACCAACTGACTTTCCAGAACCTCCACGTCTCCCGCCTCCACCTCCAGCGCAGCATGCCTCGCGTTTTGGACAACCAATGCACGATGACTTTCAGTCTTCAACTTGTCAAGCAGCCAGCCGACTTTGTGAAGAGTCTCCGTTTGGAGGCTCGTCCAATTTATCGGAGAGTTTCAGCAGCGAGGATGATTATGGGATGCCTTTTGAAAGTTGTCTAATGTTCCACACATCACCTGGAGTTTCCCTGTGTGGCAGCAGTGGGTCATCCGAGTTCTCCGATACGACCCCTTGGCAACACGCTGACTTGAGCAAGATCACGTGTCTTCAAAACAAGGTGATATTAACAGTATGGTAATATACATGCATGCCGTTTATAAATGGACGATACAGTATTAGCACTGGCTAATCACATTCCTTTATCATCTGCAGTGTAAATACAAGTATTATGAAGTAATATACACTTGCTTTTCGTTAAATCTTGTTGAATTGCATAGAACACTGCTAAGCCAGTATGTACGTTTATGTTTGTGTTTTGTCATCTTCCATTGTATATCCACTGCTGGATGAAGGTTACCATGCCATCACCATCACTAACGGTGCTGTGGTAGCACAATCAATTTCGCTTCTGAACTTTGACCTCTGTCCTCTCTCCCACCGGTGTGCACTGCTCGTCACTCTCAGGCGTCTTTTCTCCTTCCTTCAGTCGTCATCCATTCTTGCCACGATGTGTCCTGCCCAAGTCCACTTAATCTCCGTCAGAATCGATGTCTCAGTTTTTACGTTTGATCGCTCATCCACGTTTTCTCTCCGTCATCTCTCCACTCTTCGTTGCGCACTTTTCAGCTTTTGTTTCATTTGCTTTATCAATTGTCATGTTTTGGATCCGTATGTCATGAGGCGTAATGTGCATTGATTAAAAAAAAACGTTGTTAATGCACATTGGGTCAATATGAGCGATATGAAAGCCATGCACAGCAAGTCTGCATAAAATAAGAGAAAAACTCTAGTTGGTGAGATGGAACTGAAAAACACAGAATATGTATCACTAGGGGAAATTATTGAAGGCAGATCAGGAACAAAACAATAGAATAAAGAGGCACACAACAAAAGGATGGAGTGCCATTGTTGTTAGGTGGAAATTAAGGAAAATAAAAATTTCTATAATGTACTGGAATGCCTCAAAGGAGATACAACCCAAAAACAAATTTATATTATTTTCAGATACAACTGTCTTTTGTGAAACTTGCACAGTAGGGGTCACACTTTTCCCACATACTGCAATAAAATTGTCTAATGGCTGTCACCCTGATCAATTGAAATCTCAATAGATGGAATTTATCCAAATTCAGTGCAAAGCCAAATTTAATTATGTTTTTTGTACAATCTTTGGTGACCAGGCTGGAACCACGAACCTTTCCTGTACCTTACACTTCTATCCTGCTTTTGTATTGTTCTACCATTCTGGCCCTACTGGACATGTGAAAAATAGCATTATAGCTCATCGGATGCCTCCTGCAGTACAAATATTCAGATTCTGATTAAAACAAAGGATGGAAGGCCTAGTTCTGCATCTGCAAGAGCGTTTTATTTTCGGTTGAAATATTCCTTGAAGCCCCTTGGCAAATGGTGACTATTTGAGAACGATAGTTACATTTCCACAATGTTTCTTTGAGTAAATGTTTTTTTTTTTGCAATCAGGATGGGTCCTGGGATGGTGGCGTGGAGCTGTCCTCCCTCGTTGGCTGGAGCCCAGATCACATCACCGTCATTCTGAAGAAGCAGGGCATACAGTCCCTAGGTGCAATGGCTTTAACTTGTTCGAATTTAAGACAATGCATATGATTCTTAACAGTAATTGCTTCCTAGCAGTCGATTTTAATTTGTGCCTTATTTATAAGATGGTCCCACTACTATTTATAATCTGAGTGTCCATGTAAAGATTCAACCACCGATGTGATCTGATGATTATTTTACAAGTCATTTTTATTGTTTTGCATTTTTTCAAGGATTTTGTCACGTGTGTGCAGTTAGTTGCATGAGTCTTAAATTAAAAAAAAATGCTTATGATTCACAAGGACCTTAAACAGAGCATTCTTCAGTGCAAAATTATATTTGTGTATCGTGAGCACAAGAACTAATGGTAACTAATCGCGGCACTTTGAATTTAGCATTATTTTTTAATTAGTGTGTGAAATATTACTGGCATTTATGTCATTATTGTAAAGCATGAATCTTAAGCAGAACTGCAGAAATATCCCAGTGCATTTTCTCTAAATATATATTGTGGTGAAATTGAGTAAAAACCTCACTTGTTGAGGTATACTGTGATTCTTGGAAATAATGAGTCCCTAAATGATACTTAGAAATAATGAGCCAATGCTCTCCCATGAGTAAAATTTTTATTACACTCTGAAAATTAAACATCGCAGGATAGATTTGTTTCAAACGATCGAAAGAGAAAAAATAAGTATTCCGCGTATATGCTGTGCAGCTTGCCGATGTGTTGTTGGGCTTGGTGACCGACGTTCTGCTCCGCATACCTTCTTCAGGGTGATGCTGAACAACACGCAGTGCAACGTCGGATAATCCACACTGCAAAACCGTGAACACCTACGCAAGTCTGATTTCCCCCCCCCCCCCCGCTGTGTGCTTTCACCGAACGCAAACATCCCAGGGCTACGCATGGAGGAAGCCATCGTCCGGCTGGTGTGGACGCTGCTCGTGCTGCAGATCCTGCGCCTGCGCATGGGGCTGGCCTCGAGCCTGAATGAGTTTGTGCTGTTGCTGCTCCGACGAGACGTCAGCACGTGAGTGCCACGCTGCCGTCACTTTACAAAGCGCTCGGCTCGCTAACCCGCTCCTGTCCTTCCACATACACACACGCATTCATGTATGTACTGTGTGTTGAACTTCTTTCGCACCGTACGTGGCCAACCGTGCTAATTGGAGGTGTGGGGGAAGGACAAAAAAACTAAGCACAAAAAGCAGTTCTAAAGAAATTAGTTTTAAAAGTGCATAGCTCCAGTGGCTTCCTAATATCAGAATATCGTTCCAGACAGCTGCAGAAGTGCATCTGAAAGCGTGTGATGCAGCGACTCTTTTTGTTCGATGACAAGCCAAAAGCCGCTGCGAGGATGATTGGATTTCACGTGATGGTTTATGTCCCTTAACGAGATTAGCGATTCTCCCACGCAATTGCCCTCTCTCTACAAAACAAATACAGGGCGCTTCTAAAAAATGTTAACACTTCGGAGAATTTGCAACAATACCACAAAAAATGTGCCTCCAGGTCTCTGGAGACCACCTGGAAAAGATTCCAAGCATGTGTTGACAATGATGGCGAACAAGTGGAGACTGACTTTTTGAAGCTATTAACATGAATTTGTTATCATGTTACGCTGTATTTTCTGTTCTTTTTCCATTAAAAACGATAGTCCCATATACGTGTTCACATTTTTTTAAAGTATTGCCACCATTTCTAATTCATAATTGATTTTTTTTTGGGTCAGATCGCATGAGTACAATGTCAACGTGTCGTACTCCCTCCTCCACCTGACACAGCCGATTAAATACATTATCATATGAAGTGTCAATTCATTATCGCTTCAGCAGCATCAATTGTGTGGCTGGTGAGCTATTCACACACATTTGACAATTGAGTACGGACGTTTTGGCGGTAGTTACAACCAGCATTGCCAGGCGATTGCGAGAATTGCAAAAATGTCCTCTAGTCCTGGACATTAAATAGGTGGTATGTCATCGTTGTACCCCGTCACATAAATTATGTTTTGACTCACGTGATCTCAGCCAACGTGTTCAACCCACTGTTTCTGTACAACGTCTTGCGGGAGCCACTCTGACTTGACCTTGTTGATGTGGCCTTAGAGGCCAGTCGACTCAGGAGAACAATGCTACAAACGGCAGAGCCAACACTGCGGAGGCCCGATGTCCCAATCTGGGTTTCAGCCACCCGTGATTAAAGCGGGTACCCCCAAGTATAGCCCAGCGGTGGCACGTTTACCGCTTGCAGCGCGGCTTCGCAGTCCGAGCCCGGCGGCCGCCCAGGTTAACACTGCGGGTGTGATGGTCATAAAGAAAACCATGTTCCGTGTGCTTCAGTGAACTTTAAAGATACCATGAAGTTATTAAAAAGAGAGGGAGGGGTGCCTATGTACCCGTGTCATCGACAATGCATTGGCACTGTCCATCTGCCTGCAACAGGGGGACATGACTACTCTCGTAAAGATGATCCAATATGAATTAAACTTTAGCCCAAGGTTTGTTGTTACCATGAGAAAAACCAAGTTTATCAAAGGTTTACCCAAAACTTGGCAATAAGAAAAAGAGTCCTAAAAGAACAAACCGCATGTTGGATAGCACTTCAGCTTCCATGCATCATTTCAGAATCTCAGAATCCTTTTTAGACTGGAGGAATCCAATGAGCTCTGAAGCTCTTTTTTTCACAGACTTGCAGTCATTTGACAATGGCTGTGTCGCGTGTCGCCTGGACTTTAGGTTGGCTGAGCTGGATATGTTCATGCCGGGGAGTGCCGACGCATTTGCGCGAGCGGCCTCCTGGATCCGGTCGACGGAGAGCGTGTGCCCGTGCGTGTGCACGCGGCTCGAGCTGGGCCCCAACTGGCAGGCAGCCACCTGCAGTCTGCTTGGAGTGGCCTGATGGAGTCTGCACGTGCCTGCAAATACACACATGCCCGCACGCACACACGCAGCCGTACGCTCGCGCACGCATACACGCGCACATATACACTCGCGTATGTTAAGGGAACTTCCAGAGGAGTATGTCATTTAAGGGTTAAGTGGTTTCGACGATAACGCAAGACGTGATACACTCGGATGAGACTCTCAAGATTCGCGGCGAATCCACTCGTAAAAAGCATTCCCGATTAACTGGCGCGTGCCCTTTTTCTGGCTCTCTGGGCCGTTCTCTGTTCTTTTCAATGAACCCTTTAACTTCCCGTCCCAGCTCATTGACCAGCCTCCATTTACCGTTTGAACTACGTGGGTATTTACCCTTCAAATCCCCTGGCCAATCAAGAATTGAAGGTCAGGCGTCCCGCCAACCATGCGTGCACGCCCAGCAGCCAGCCAATATTTAGGTGAGCTGAGCACGTGCTCGGCTCGTAGGAGCCCTGGCAAGTGACGGGCTGGCCCATCAAGTTAAAGGGCGCTCCCCGTTTACGTTTTAAGAAATTTAAAGTTTTAAACTGTGAGTCATCACAATGCTGTATGTGGGGCCACTTAAACAATAATAAAGTATCTTCTTTGGTTCTTTCGGTAAAGTCACGTAGAATGAGAATAAAATAATAAATTGATAAAATAAAATAACACAATAATATTGTGAGAATATTATTGTGTTATTTTATTTTATCAATTAATTATTTTATATTGTGAGAATATTATTGTGTTATTTTATTTTATCAATTTATTATTTTATTCTCATTCTACGTGACTTTACTGAAAGAACCAAAGAAGATTAATCCTTGCAGTCACGAAAGCTTTAAATCGAAATAATAAAGTATTTGACGGACCCTACACTCACCGCCCACAGCAGGCTCTGCTAACATTGTTGATAAACCACCTTGTGTATTTTTACAGTTGGGCTGTGTTGTGGTTATACCCTTATAAAAAAATACACATTTAGTGTTAAGAAGGATTACACACATTGTCTCAATCATATGTATTTTAATACTCATCAATGATAATGAGGAAAATTATAATTAATTGGTTAATGGTTGTTTGCATACATATGTTATTTCGTTCAGGAAACGTGGCACCACACATAGGAGACTAACTTGACTTGAGAGCTATGTAACAAGGTTTGGAGGTTGGCTAAGTCCACCAGAGACTCCCCTACTCCAGAGCACGACATTATACTCACAAGCTGTGGCCACATCAGACGCAACTTGAGGCCAAACGTACTTAAAACGACCCTCGGAAACAGGAGGAGAGTCGGTGGATGAGTCAGCTGTGGCCATACCTGGCATGGGACTCGAGGCCAAACACAAACTACCCTCATCCCCGAAATAGGATGGAGTGAAGGTGAAGTTGTGGATGGCTGGTAAATTGTAAGGTCTTCATTGTCTCGCAAGATCGAGAACGTAAATCCAATAAGAAACGCATTCATTCTTATACAATGGCGCATTCAATCAGTACAGCAGTGGGCTAAATTAGTCACCAGTTGCATCAACCACCGGGCTGACGCTGCTCTGTCGCCACCCATCAATCTGCTCCCTGCGCTATGCACGTGACGACTTCACAATCAACAGCACAGAATATGCCTACATGCTTGCTGTCGCCTCAACGCTAGCGTGAGACTGACTACTGCTACAAACTGAAAGCTGATTGTCTTTGTTGAGTTGTTTGCCTTCTAATGATATTAATATTAATCATGAATTTAGCCATTGATTACTTGATTTGTATCACCGTAGCAATCATTCTTTGGATCAAGTGTCAGTTGCATATTTTATGACTGGCAGTCTGAAGTGGGTGGCTTCCATTCAATGTTTAATTTTCGGTATGCAAGCCACCCATTTTTATTAATCACTTCAAATTTTATCAATTATAGGGCCAAAATACGCAATTGTATACTTGTGGGTGCAAATAAAAGTGTGTGAATTGAAAAACTTTTTACCACTTTTTTACGTTGTCCCAATGTCGTTAACTTAATGAAGACATTAATGTAAATTCTGCCCATTTGCATACAGGAAGCTGATGTAATGTTGAAGTGCAGCAAATAAATTAAAGTTAGAGCAAGAAGGACGAGAGATCAGTGAGGCAGATTTACCCCAACAGTGAGTGGCCTTCAGGACGTCTTTGGAAATAATATTCTGGAAGAAGTAAAGAGCAGATCGAGAGAATACAGAGAGCCACTGTATAAGCTAGATGAACGCGTTAACAAATAATGTGATGCAGGAAAGTACGAACAAGAACCTACTGTGGCTGAGTGTGAAGTACGCCAGGCCCTGAAGAAGCTCACAAACAAAGCCCCAGGAGGAGAGGCATATCCATTGAGCTCATCAAGGGAGCAGGAGATGAGGATATTCAGATACAGTTTTGTATCAACAGATTTGGTCTCGCAGCGAGTGGCAAGCGTTCCGTTATCTACCTCTCTATATAAGAAAGGCGACCCCAGCAAATGCTGCAACAACCGTACGAGAGCTCTCATATCACATACCAGCAACGTTTTGTTGAAGATTACTCGACATAAAATGGAGAGCTATGTAGAACGAGAACTACCAGATATCCAAGCAGACTTTAGGAAAACAAGAGACCAAATCGTAAACAGAGAGATAATGTAAACATCAAAAGAATACCGGCAACAGCTGTACCTCTGCTTCATTGATTACTCTTCGTAGAATGAATGAATATTAATGATTTTAATTAAGCTTTTTTAATGGCATATTGAATTGTCACACGAGACGAGTCCGTGTCGAAAATTTCAGCTCGTTAGGCTTCGTAGACCCGAAGATATTAAAGCGTCAAATATTTGAAAGAATATAAACGGACAACACGGCATCCTCGAGAAACGTGCATAGTAGAGTCGTAGTGATAAAAAAAACATCGAAACGGGTTCCGATTGGTGGCCCGAGATCGCTTTCCGATTAGCGGGTGCCTATCTCTGGCACAAGACGGAGGAAACTGTGCAGTGGACACCTACCGGGCTATCTCGCCAGAGATCGTGATGATGATGATGAAGATCCCCAGGCGCTTGGTGGGAATGGGGAAGAGCAACGCTGATGAGCCGACTGTACCATGCTCGGTGCTGCCGCTGACTGGCGGTGATCTTTGGCACAGCGCTCGACCCCCGTTCGAGCGACTTCCCAACGTGGCACGCAACGACCCCGGCACGGACGAGTGTTGGAGAAGAGCCGCTCCGTGAGCCAGCGCGAGTCGCCGTGGACTTGGGGGGGCCGGGGAGTGAGGATGGAGTCCCGACACTGCGGCACCCTTCACGCAGTCGTCGTTGCTCCTAGAAGATTAAAAAAAACATTGCGTTCATGTCATTTTATTTCGGGTCTTGTCCGGTTACATTGCCCCCCCCCCCTCCTCCTCCTCTCCTCCCCGTCTTTCCCTCATCATTCCCTTCACTCCGCCTTGATAGATATTGTGTCTCAAATCGTTGCCCCTGTGATGGGAGGGCGGCGTGCCCAGGTGCTCCAGGTGCCCAGGTGCTCCAGGTGCCCAGGTGCTCCAGGTGCTCCAGGTGCCCCCAGTGCTCCAGGTGCCCCCAGTGCCCAGGTGCTCCAGGTGATCCAGGTGCCCCCAGTGCCCAGGTGCCCCAGGTGCTCCAGGTTGCACCAGGTGCCCCCAGTGCCCAGGTGCTCAGGTGCTCCAGGTGCCCAGGTGCCCCCGTGCTCCAGGTGCTCCAGGTGCCCAGGTGCCCAGGTGCTCCAGGTGCTCCAGGTGCCCAGGTGCTCCAGGTGCCCAGGTGCCCCAGGTGCCCCATGTGCCCCGTGCTCCAAGTGCTCCAGGTGCTCCAGGTGCCCAGGTGCCCCGTACTCCAGGTGCTCCAGGTGCCCAGGTGCTCCAGGTGCACCAGGTGCTCCAGGTGCCCAGGTGCTCCCTGTGCCCAGGTGCCCCAGGTGCTCCCTGTGCCCAGGTGCTCCAGGTGCTCCAGGTGCCCAGGTGTTCCAGGTGCTCCAGGTGCCCAGGTTCCCAGGTGCCCAGGTGCTCCAGGTGCCCCAGGTGCTCCAGGGGCTCTCATCCGTTCCGCAATCACGAGCGTGTGGTGGTGACTCGCGACCCCAGTCGCACGCTTTGCTACACGCTGCCGTCCTCCACTTGATACCCCTACTGTAATGTGTCACTGGTTCATAAAAAAACAAATGCTGATACTGGATATTAAAATAATGACGAGAGCCACTCCGAGCAGAGCCACTCGGGCCTCGCCGTGTCGCACTTCCAGCGCCGCTACCGAGAGACGTCGACGTGAAGACCGCGCAGACGTCGGGACGGCTGGGGCGGCGCTCCTCTTCGGTGCAAGGCCCCGCGGCCACTGGCGGCCACTGGCGGCCCCTGGAGGCCTTTAGTGCGGCCCCGATAAGACAGCGAGTGGACACACCGCCCGTCACCATCATCGTGCTGCTGTCAAACCCCCAACTGTTTCAAATGGTGTGGCGGTCCTCACGCTGATGATGTCTCATCGGCGAAAGTGGCCCCCCTCTGAAGATGAGTGAAGACCACTGGCATATAGTGTGTTGAGAACACCGCACCCTCTCGTTTGTGTGGCTAACAGATAATAAACAATTTTTTGGTGTGCACACGAAATAAGATGAAACCTCTCAATTACAGACACTGTGTACGCTTTGTGTGAGATAAGCGTTAACGCGCATGGGACACCGTTGTAAGACATTCAAAATGTAGCTGAATAATTTCACTGGAATTCCGTAGTTATTGTTGAAGCCACTGCCACGAACATAATTCAGACATTTGTTTAGATGCTGGTCCATTCTGTCGTCTGAGTTGAAAAAAAAAAGTTTGGCGTTAAAAAAAACTTGCAGGGGGCACCCGGATTTGAACCGGGGACCTCTTGATCTGCAGTCAAATGCTCTACCCCTGAGCTATACCCCCAAGTACCATACATGCCGTGCAGATTATACATTTTATAAGTAATCCTGGGCAATGGTTGGCATCCGAGTGGTCACAGGTAGTATAATCTGTGCTTTTAAGTCCTGCTAAGCGGCTATAACGATGTGGGGGTATAGCTCAGGGGTAGAGCATTTGACTGCAGATCAAGAGGTCCCCGGTTCAAATCCGGGTGCCCCCTTCTTATTGAAAACATTTATTTTGCTTACTCAAATTCAACACACGCAAAAAAAATCGCGAATCGATTCAAGTTATCCGTTAGGGTAGACCTGCTCTAAAATTCACTTTTCCCACCCTGCCCCCCAACAAAACCAAGGTGTATTATGCATCATGATTATGATGTGGGATTTCTTCTGCCAGAATGATAATCATTGTTCCGGAATTGCGTTTTGAGCATGAAAAACACTCAGCGAGGTGCCCTATTCAGTTTTAATTGCGAAAACTGTCGGGAATTCGATTTCAGACGCCAGTGTCGCGTTGTTGCGCCACACGGGGGCGCGTTTGCATTAGCCAGCATCAAGGCCGAACACGCAAGGGGAGGGAGCCACTTCTCCAGGGATCCTAAACGTGAGAGGGCCCGCACAACGTGAGAGGGCCCACCGTGGCATTCAGCCGCGGGGCTCCAGGAACCTTAACATTTTTTTTTTATTTTACGAGATAATAAGACCCACTGAGCGATATATAGCTCAGTCCTAGCAGACAAATAGTCTCAAGGCATGTTTATAAATGTGGCGGTACAAAAAC